TAATCACATCCTTGGACTTTAAATTCGGTGGCTTCATTTCCAGCCTGGCACTTGGCTGGTTACAGAGTAAGACAGTTTTTTTTAAAGACAGTGGGGTGGGACTAAGTTCCTTGTACTGCAGCCACTTCTGGCCCATTGTACCAGCCCCAGATGATAGGTGAGGTGATTGTGGAGCAATTGGAATGAAGATTGCCAGGGAAACTGAAGTACTCAGAGAAAACCTGCCCCAGCGCCAATTTGTCCACGACAAATCCCACATGACCAGACCCGGGCCGCCGTGGTGGGAAGCCAGCAACTAACCGCTTGAGCTATGGCATGGCCCTTGAGTAAGGAAGTTGGTTTATATTACAAATTTATAATAATAGTCATTTAATTTTCTCTGCTATATATATCCAAACTTGAGCAGGGATTCAATCAAAACCTTCACGCTTGCTCTCTTCTATTATCCATCATACGGAGCCGAAGACAATGTGCAAGTTTACTTCGAGGCCAACTTCCCTATTCTGTGTCAGAACCTGAACCTGGAAGTGTGATCATCAGTTAGCGATGCAAATCATTACATCGATATAAAGTTACTGGATTCTGTTTTCATCATGTTCATGCTAGTGGGAAATTCAAATATACTATTTTAATACTTCTTTCCTGAGATGGCAGACAATTATATAAACGGACTCTGCAATCCTGTTATGTATGTATGGTACATGAAATTACAGCAAACTCCCCATTAATTGGCATGCAGGAGCAATGGCGTCTGTCTGTTACATGAGAAGAACTCTTAAAGAAAATCATCACAAAGTGAAGATGTGTTTCCACTTCAGTTTCTGCACAGGAGTCTTCCTAGGAAAAAGCAGATTCCTGCGTGGAATACTATGCATATGTCTATTGTGACAAGATCACACATTCAACCAACGTGTACTGCCATGATACCTGTGTAAGGATGGACGGGAAGCAATGCTAATGGCCGCTGGCGAGCTAGAACATGCTCACTGCGAATCTGTTTCTGAATAATTTAATAAAGGTGGTAAATTTTTGTTAAAATCTTAGTTGGTTGGATGAGAATCTGTATGCTTGGAAACCAGATAACTGGGCGTATACTGCATATCATATACCAGGTTTGTGATCTATACGCCCTCTGTGCACCATTATAGCTACATAGCTTCTGCTTCAGATGGCACCGCCACCTACTACGAGGTCACACCAAACAACTGTTCCGGTGTAGCCACATTAAGACGAGTAAGAGTGTTATATTTACATGAAATGAAAAGAAATAACACACACTTTTGTGTGAATTTATAAGGGAGATGTACTCCTCTGGCAGTTTCTTTGTTGTAAGGCAGTGTAAGACAATATTATTTAAGAGACATAAATATGTTACAGTTTTCATGGAGGTTGATTCCAAATTGTGCAACCTATAAATGATGCCGAGGAACACTGTAGTATGAGATCTTGCTGAACATCCTGTACTTCTGTCCCATAAGGTTGCCTACAGAACGTATGACACACCCGTGTTCATGTTTCAGACGCAGGATACTAGCGTCTAAGATAGTTTCTGTTCTCCTTTATCGTATTTTAGTTTTAATCCAATAAACCAACAGTCACCACAGATCAAAGTTGATGTATTCCATTCAACCGAGTAACTCCTGGCTTCTATGGACCTTTCTTGTTGAGGAATGTTGCGAGAACACATGCTGTATCTAAGTATCCCAATAAGGCATGAATCCAATGACTTGCACAGTTATAGCAGTCTGACTATCATGCACCTGGGCTCCAGGTGCTTCTTGAATTAAGATCGGTTCACTCTTCAGCACACGCAAGCTTTCCTCAGGATCTGTTTGTAGTGAGAGTGTTTTGCTTGCTGGAACGTCAACGGCATGTTCATCTGTATTGCCACATACTTTGCGCTTCTTGTCCAAACTGCAACAGCCCCAGTGGAATTAACGTGAACCATAAAACAAAATATAACATCACTGGAATCATGCATTATTACAATTCTAAGATCCTCCTTAACCCCTCTTTTGTTTGTCTAGTGCCTCTATGCTGAACATTGCTGTGTTCTGGGATGTGATGTTGTGTAGCCTGGTAGATCATTACTGATGTTCCAGAAAGACATGCCACCCCTTCGAATCTGAATATAGGCACATGTCCCTCCAAAATGTCAGCTCACACCTACTAGATAGCACAATTTACCACAACACAGAAGACCACAATAAAACATTTGATATATTCAGAATAATTCTCATATATTCCACAACACCGCCACATGATCTACTCTCATTGTGACACAGATCACTCACTACAGTGACTGGCTATGGGCTGGATCTTTTGGGCTTCACTCCCAACAGGGGCAGAGATTTTCTCTTCTCTACAGCATCCAGACAAGCTCTGTGGATGATCCAACCTCTTTGGTATAGGGAGCTCTTTCCCAAAGAATAAAATGGCCAAAGACCTCTTACCTCCATCTAGCATTTTGGTTAGGGATATGTGGAGCTATACCACCATTCCCCTCTACTTGTTTATGGCATGATGCTTACATAAGCAGAAGGGCAAATTTATCTTTTTACCTTCACTCATTGCATACTACAATGACATTTTCTTACCTGTGTTGCTTCATGTGTCGTCTAAGGGCATATTTGGTGTTGAATTTTCGAGAGCACTGTGAACAGGAGAAAGCTTTTGGGTTCTTGTGAATCGTGAGGACGTGTTTGCGTTGCACTGCACGAGTTTTGAAGGCTGATCCACAAATCTCACACAAGAAGGAACGAACATTAGAATGGACAGCCTATAAAAATGCAACATGGCTACAATAAACACAAATTTAATAAACACGAAAACATGCGTTAAGTTATTTATTGTTAAGGCCATAGCTCAAGTGGTTAGTCGCTGGCTTCCCACCACAGCGGCCTGGGTTCGATCCTGGGTCTTGTCAAGTTGGATTTGTGGTGGACAAAGTGGTGCTGAGGCAGGTTTTCTCCTAGTACTTCGGTTTCCCCTGCCAATCTTCATTCCACCAACTGCTCCACAATCACCCTCACCTATCATCTGGGGCCAGAAGTGGCCACAGTACAAGGGACTTAGTCCCTCCCCACTACCAATAAAAAAAAATCTGTTATGAAGGAGTGCCAATTAAACTGAAACATATGTTGGACATGTTACATCTTCTTGCTTTTGGTTAGAACATGTTCCAGAAGCTGGCTCTGCTTATGTACTTATGAGACAAACAGATCAGGTTTCATAATTTTACCTGATGATGGAAACAGAACTAACTTCTGAAACACTGTATTTAACCAAAATTGGACTATGGAAAATATCCAGAATGTGGGGTAGTTTTACGTATTTTGAATCATAACATGTGGCACACACCCATACGAGGATTCCAAGGGAAGTGCAGAATATTTCTGGCCAAAATGAATTCTGTCTTAAAAGCATGCAGCCCTGTACCTGGTCCAGACAGAGTTGCTGATACTCACCAAATGCTGGGTGAGCTGAGCCTGGGCACGACAACACTTGCCACAGGCAGGGCAACAGAATGCCCCCAGACTGGGGTCCAGCTCAACGTGCGTCACACGGTGCTGCTTGAGGGCATCTGGCCGCTTGAATGCTTTACCACAGTGGTCGCACAAGTAAGGACGCTTGTTGTTGTGAACGTTGTTGACGTGGCGGATATAGTGCTCCTTGCGTCCTGTCTTATATGAACACTTATAAAGAAAGCAGTGTCAGAATACTTGAATTCAAATATGTAATGAAATATCTTTCAAATATATGTCTGTCCATATGAGCCAAACTATGACATTAATTATGACAAAACTTAGTACTGTACATAGACTATACTTTGATATGCCATTTAATATTCTGGTGCAATGAGGTTAACATTAAAGTTTCAGGTACATCTGGGTTTTCCTGAAAGTATGCTGAATTTTGATGTACGGTATGTATATGTACAGTTTATATAAATCTATTCCTGCTGAACTGTGGGCCTGAACACTCACTTGCTGGCATTGGAACCTGTGCTCTTCCCTAAGCAGAGAACTGTCTGCACTCGTATGAGCCTGCAGATGTCGCTTGTAGAAGAATGGGCGGGTCGTGCTATAGGCACACTCGACACACCTCAGCAATTCTTTCCGTGCTATGTTCTCATGTCCCTGGAAGAGCATTCAGCAACTCTGTGGTGAAATCTGTACTTCAGTCTCGCGTACATTCCTTGACTTTGCTATCATGACTTCGAAGGAGTGCCTTATAAAAGCAAGGTACAATCACATACAAATACGAACCTGCACATTGGCATGCTTAATGCGCTGATGTCTCAACAGAAATTTGTGATGGTCAGTATGATAGTGGCACATGTCACATGCAAACTTTGTATCGCTGTGACTCATCTCATGTCGCCGTAGATGTCCTAGTCTGATTGTTGTGAAGTCACACTTCTTGCATGAGAATAGTTCGGAAACCTTAGAAATATAATAAAAACCATAAGAAATAATCAATTCCTATGTAAACGTTTTTATTAAGATTTACAAATAGGGGGAGAGCCTCAAATACCTTACATTTCATCAAAAATCACTAATATTTATTAGAAGATGGAGTAATCAGGCTGTCATCTGAACCACTTTAACTCAACATACTGTGCCTGTATTATGACACCATACATTCTGGTACTGGAGGTCATACTACCCTTGTCTTCAGGGCTTAAGTGAGTGAAGTCTGGAAAGTGGCAGGTTCTAGAGAAGTAAGTAAAGGCAAAGTTGTTCCCCCTGGTACCTGTTGGATAGGAGGCTGGGACGGTCCTGGTGGCAATCCCTTCCAGCTGTCCAGTCTGTAGCCTGTTGCTATGCCAACTGAGCTCCTACAGACAAGCAGAGGGACAAGAAGCGGATCATGGAGGACAGGAGTGGCTAGTGGCTAGTCACACCTATCAATAAAGCTGACAGGCAAATGGGAACTGCAGGCCAAGGATAGGGTAACTACCCTAGTACAGAAGGTTACCAGTTGCCCTTTCAGAGACCATTTCAGGGCAAAGGAAAGAACAGGAAAAGAAGCCCTTTCAAGGCCACAGACAGAGGAAAGCCAAGTCAGGACCTGCCTCTTGAAAGGGGTACCATTCTAAGCCAGGTGATAAGCTCCTATATATAGTCACTAATATTAGACAATTTTATTTATTATAGAAAAGCTTTATTGGGGTATACAGTAGCGTAGTTGGTGGAGACACTCTGCTACAAGCTGGAAGGTCATGAGTTAGGATTCCTAATCCTTCGAGCAACACTATGACCCTGGGGTCGACTCAGCCTCTAAAAGGGATGAGTGACAGGAATCTTCCTGGGGTGAATGGTGCCCAGAATGTAACGCCGACAACCTAATCACCATCTGTCTAGAAAATGTGGGAGCCTTGATGTCTCACAACTCTACAGGCTTTCACAGCCTGTTACAGGGATAGTTTTACCTTTTATTTTTTTAAACAGAGAGCGTCACTGATTTTAAACTGAAAGCATTACTTACTTTTGAATGCAATTCCAGATGACGCTGGTAATGACTTTCACGCTTTGATTTAAAAGAACAAAGAGTGCAGAAAAATTTGAATGGTGCCAGCTTCTCATAATCTTTCTTCTTCCCGCACGATCTGCTGACATTCTGGATATCAATTTCTTCTTTTACCCCATTAGTGCAATCTGCAGGCTCACAGCTAAGAGGATAGACATTGTCCGAAGATTTTGTACTTTCATTTCTATTAGCCACTTGATTTTGAAAAGAGTGAATGTCATCACTATGCCAAACAATTCTACCAACATCTGCACTGCCATGCACTGTATGCGCCACAAGATTCTTCATGCCATCAACATTTTCCTCTAGAAACTCTCGTCCCATGTCAATGGCGTTTGATCGTTGACACGTTTCTATAATGGAATTATCAGGCAATTCATAATGACACACTGTTTGCCCAGAACTATTATCAACTACTGTAATATGACTCTCGCTCTTAATGTCATCCACTAGAATATTCTTGTTAATGAGAGTTCCTTTATGCTGAACCAGCAGGTCACCTGTATTCAGGAGCTGGTCAGATTCAGGCAGTGAGCCCTCGTACGGCAACTGTTCGAGATCATGTCCGGAACTAGCGACTGGCAACAGCAGTCCTGGTAAGTTGTCAAGGCTGCCACTCATGGTGATGTTTACATAAACTTCATTCTCTTGTTTCACTTCTCTGTCGCTGTTCCCTGCAACATCAGTCTGTTCGACCTAAAACAGAAGTATTCACTGCACATTAAATCCGGCAACTTCTTGATGCTGTCAGTGACTCAGACTGCAGAGTGTTGGATGGTAGGATGAACAATGAACTGGAAATGATTTGGAGGGAACTGAGTCCTAACTCAGCAATTGGTTGGAGGGACCTCAGTCAGGATGCCAGTGTCCCAATCAAGACTCTAACCATGTGTCTAGAATACTACCTGTAGACCATCCTGTTTGGTTATAATAAATAATAAACTGTTGGGAGGTGTGGCAGGAAGTGACCCTGGCCTACCAAGGTACTATCCTGGCATTTAATTTTAGGGACCAAGGAAAACCACACAAAATTCCCAGTCAGGATAACTGGTATCCTGGATAGGATTTGAAATGGGCACATTCCAAATATAAATCACAAGTGTTATGATTTGAACACACTTGTTCTGTACCATAAGTTTAGTTAAACACGAGCGTAATTTTCTGCTGACAAAACTGATCTTGAAACCTGGGAACTTCTGCAGGGGCCACTGCCCATAGGGCATCTTTGGTTTCAAATCTGAATATTTTTAAATCCTAAAAAAAAGAGGGAGGGGGGGTCTACACAAAGTTAAACAGAGTGCTTGCAGATGTATGTTTGCATGCTCATATCCATTTATATTGATGGATAGAAACACAGTACCATCTATTGCATGTCTGCATCTTAGTTCATATCGCCTGACTTTGATTTTGAGGCAAATAAGAACCTACAAATGTCATACCATCTATATCAGTAAAGAAATTTGAGATTCTCACAGTAGTGGTTATTAAAATTATGGTTTTGTGTGATGTGACAGAGAGGTAGCAACATTTTGGAGGAACTTGCTGTCTCCATTTTCTACTTACAACCTGTTCTGTGAAGGATCAGCTGATAAAGAGACTGGGCTATGGGCTGGATGCCCAATGAATTGGTATTCAATTCCCAGGAGGGCAAAACATTATCCCTTTCCACAATGTCCAATAAGATTCTGAAGCACAACTATCTTCTTCTTCAGTGAGTACCTGGGGTTCTTTCTCCACGGTGAAGTGCCTGGGGTGTGGAGCTGATTACTCACTGCGATTTAATGCTGAAGCTTAGAATGCACGGAAGGAGACCACCATGCCTTCACCGCATGATGCTCAGTTAAGCACAGATATGACTGTAACTTTATGCTAGTAAAATAATACATTGTATTAACTAGACCGTAGCTCACAATCAGACGCTTATTTCTAAATGATTTTGACGTACCTCAGGTACCACTTTCTTGCTTTGTACTGGCAAATTTCTTTGGTGAAACTGTTCGTTCTTCCGACGACTTGCATTTAAATACTTCTGTCTGATGTAGCGTAGGACTGTTTTGGCATCTACCTTTGGAACTGGAGAACTGGGCATGGAAGTCGACATGGACTTGCCACAGGGTGGTGATGCAGCTTCATCACTTTCATCTTCGTCATTGACCTCTCCTGGGAGTTTTAAATACTTCGCTAGCATAATCTGACAAAAAGAAATTATGAAACTTGAGTTCACACAATGAAACTGTAATGTTGAGCTTACCTCTGCAATAATCACACAATTAAATAATCTATAAATAAATATTTGGTTTATAAAGAATACAAAGGCAGCTCCAACAGGAAATATGATAATCTAAGGCAGTGGTTCCCAGACATTTTTGTCCACAACCCAAAATTTGAAGTCATATCTGCCTTGCAATCCGAGCGGTACCGCTACTGACTTAGCAACTCCAGCAAATCAATGTGGATTTATAACACAATATTAACAGAGCACCCAAAGAAAAACTGTAAACACAACTGTTCAATTTCTACAAATATGATTTTTTCATACAAAGTTTTCTTGATTATTTTTGGAGTTCATGACCCATCAGAATGCCCTAACAATCCGTGGTATAAAGGTCTGTGATAAACGTGTACTGTCCAGCATCCAGATTGTCATGTCATTGATACAGGGAAAGAGTTCAGCTGTCTAATGGACCCAAAAGAGAAGGTTTCAAGATTTTACTTGATGAAGGAAGCAGAGCCAGTTTCTGAAACGTTCATAAAAAAAAAGAAGAAAGAAAGAAAGAAAAAAGAAATTATGACTGAAAAGATTCAATATATATATATATATATAAGTTCAAGTGACAATATGATAAGATAAGAGCTTAACAAGGGAACATGAGGAGCACAAACAACTTGAGGTATGGATTGGAGATTGGAATTACTGACAACTTTAACACACACAACTTGTGACTGCACTTAATTATAGTGTCATCACTGATCTCCACACTTTACCAATCATTACAGCCTTTTCAGTCTGCTGTGTCTTCACCAGTTGTTCCCTGGTAATGGCTTCTAACAGTGGAGATTCTTCAGCTTCTGTGCTCACTTTGTTGTCTCTTGGCTATCAACTGCACCAACTAAGTCTTCTCTTCACAGACTTCCTTACAACTCTCTCTGAACCCTTGCTCAAATTGTCCTTAAACATCTTGGTGCGGACAGCTGTTGTAGTACAATCGTTTCTATGGGAACATGTTTGTTTGTGAAGGCGTCAGTAAGTAATGGCTGTGTATACTTGCTTATTAAGAATCTATTGCCTTGCAGCAGATGTTGTTTCATTGTTTGTTTTGAGGTCATTACCCAGTTATGGGTCTGCATGCTACAGTATGGACAAAATAAATATGTGTAACACAGTGTTGACCACATCTCCTCCCTTTACATTTTATTTTCAATTATTTATCAGAGAGTGCCTCCCACATCTCACGGTTCTGAAATACTTCCAACAACTAGAAACATTTCTGTGACCTTCTGAAGTCAGTAAATATCGATACCATTTTCACTTCATTCCCATTAATGTTACACTTTCCCTGCTATTTTGCTACTAGGTCTTCATTTCTATGTCATATGATGAATGCAGCACCGTACCTCTCACTGTATATATTTTTTAATTCCTATCTTGCCAGGTAAAAATAACCTCTGATGTTACTAAACATACTGCTGCTCAATACTGTTTACTCTAACTGATAAAGATGTACCACAATTTCTATAATATATTCATTTAATTAGATGCTTATTAGCAGAATACTTGTTCTAATTTATGCCCAGAAAGGCACATACATGGTGAAAACGGGTTGCTTAGTGTCACGGATCTGTAAATATACGTATTTTTGACTAACATTCAAAATACTCGGATAATTCTGATATAATACTGATGGCCTCTGTACTGACTTACGTGTATTTTCATTATGTGTTGCCAGGTTCCTTCCAAGAAAACCTGGCCGTTACTATTCCATTCAACTTTAACCTTTGCTGTCAAAGCCATTTCTTTTATTACGTTATTCCTATCTGCATGAGAATCAAGGGACATGGAATCCAGATACTGCTGAGATATAACAGTTCGAGTCCATTCAAAAACAAAAACAGACATTATGAAATTATTTCTCCAACCTTAAAATCTTCACAACTGGCCACTAGCCCCCACACTTCATAAACTATAATTAAACACGAAGCCAATAAAAACAATTGACTTTTGACAGCCACACACTTTTGCAAACTTCCCTTCACACTTGCAGCTCCACGACGAAATATCTGTAGGTTTCCGAACTTAAGGTAAAGCACTGAATTGTGCATTTATCTTCTTCAGCATATATGATCAATGATTTAGTTATCCGTTAGGCATCTACCATTTTGCGCGTCAGATCACAGGGCACACCAGCGTCAGTATCCGTTTTTTTATTGAGTGCATAAAAAGATCGTGCATTTCAAATGGAATCCGTGCACTATCGCACAAGTAACCACAAGTGACCTCTGTAAATTGTTTGGTATTCTCTGCTCAGCATAGCTTTCGTCGATGCAACTTACTTTGATGTCAGCGATCGTCAGTGATGGACGTAAAATTTGAATTTTGAACGTTAGGAAGCTGACCTGATTTACGTGTTTGCATACACTGTTCTGTTTGGCGTCGGTATTTGATTTCATAAGAAAAGCGATGTCGTCTGCTCAGAATGATGAACTGCCAGAAGATGTGTGTTTGGTCCGCCCGGGATGCCCAAGAGAATATCAAAGTGCTGTTGAAAATTTATCTAGACGCATGCTTGAGCACATTGCTGCCCGAAATGGAAAGCCTAAGAAGTGGACTATTGAAGACTTCGAGATAGGATGTCCGCTAGGCAGAGGTAAATTTGGCAGAGTGTATTTGGCCCGTGATAAATATTGTCATTTAATTGTGGCCATCAAAGTGTTATACAAGTCAGAAATAAGGGAGCATAGAGTTGAACATCAGGTGCTGAGAGAAATCGAGATTCAAACTCATCTGAAGCACCCCAATATCTTACGCCTGAGAACCTACTTCGATGATGAAAAACGGATATATCTGGTGCTGGATTATGCAGAAGAAGGAGAGCTGTACAGATGTTTGCAGAACTCACAAAATCATAGATTTTCTGAGAGGAGGGCAGCAAAATATATTTATCAGGTTGCAGATGCTCTGAATTATTGTCATCTGAACAAAGTAATTCATCGAGATATCAAACCAGAAAATCTCTTGCTCATGTCAACTGGTGACATCGTTCTTGCAGATTTTGGCTGGTCTGTTCATGCCCCATCTTCCAGACGCAAAACCATGTGTGGAACTTTGGATTACTTGCCTCCTGAGATGATAGAAGGCAGAACATATAATGAGTATGTGGATCATTGGTGTGTTGGCGTGCTGTGTTACGAGTTTCTGGTTGGGAGACCACCATTTGAATCCAGCGATACAAATAAAACATACTCCCGTATACAAAATGTGGACCTAAACTTCCCTAACTGTGTGGCAGAAGGAGCAAAAGACTTAATCAGCAAGTTACTTCGTCGATGCCCCAGTGAGCGCCTGCCATTGCCAGATGTCATGAAACACCCTTGGATTGTGAACAACAGAGAAAAATAGATGAACTGTTGCATGTATGACTTCTGTGTATTTGTAACTGAAAAATCAGTCAGCTGAAATGAAGTATGTGTCATGACTATCTCAATTGTCACTCCATAAGGTAACTGATGTGAACTCCAGTTTCTTTTGTCATGCCTTAATTCTAACTTGGTTATATGATAAACAGTATTGCATTTTAAACTTGTAATTTTACATACATATATATTTCATTTCATTTCATTTATTTACATGTCAGAAATCCTTTACAAGGTCATAAGACTCAGGATATAGACAATAGTCCAATATAACAATTAAATATAATAATTACAAAAAATAATAATACATGTTAAAATATTTATGTAAACATAATTTTAAAATTATAAAACTTGTAATTTAACTTTTCATTAATTAAGTATTTAATCCCAATGAAATCAATTATCAATCTTCTTAACTGTGTAATCAAAAAATTCATCAATACAATAAAATGAATGTAAATGGAGAAATTGTAATAGTGCTTTCTTGAATCGATTTTTGTTTTTGGATAACTGTTTTATTTTGCGTGGAAGACTATTATAAATTTTGATTCCAAAATACTGTGGACCTTTCTGAAATGCTGTTAGATTTGACGAGGGGAGATGCAAATTTGAACTATTTCTTGTTACAGTTGTATATATATCTGAATTTTCTGCAAATAAATCCATATTATTAACTACAAACATCATCAAAGAATATATATATTGAGAGGGCAGTGGTAATATTTTCAATTGTCTAAAGATTTTTTTACATGAATCTCTGTTTCCAGCTCCCACCATTATTCGAACAGCTCTCTTCTGCAATTTAAAAATGCACATACTGAGAGTTCTATGTCCCCAAAAAATCAAACCGTAAGACATCACTGAGTGGAAAAAGGCGTAATACACCATTTTAAGGGCATCAATATTTAAATACTGTTTGGTTTTCCTAATTATGTAACAGGCTTTATTTAATTTACCTATAATTGAATCTATATGCTTTTTCCAAGATATATATATATATATAACTACAACAACAGATTTCCATACCAGTGGCAGAATTTCTCTCTTGCAGCAGAAATGTCATTTCAAAATTGAAGAGATGGATTCATTTTAATATATTGTAAGTCAATTTGTACATCTTATAGCAATGCCTGAACTTAAGTCTCATTTTTAACCCCTGTTTGATGACTGATGGGAGAGTTTCCAAGGTCTTATTCATGAGCCAGTAATATGAAATGTGAGATGCTTTTCAGACTATTGTGTGTGTGTAAATCCTTCAAGAAAGAGTCAAGTGATGCATGTGCCACGGATATACTGATAGCAAACTCAAAGTGAAGCATAAATTGATGTCAAAAAGAGAACAGTTTTCCTCCTCAGATGTTCCTATTCTATGTGGGTCATCTAGCATTGAGACCTCTTTTTCTCTGCCTTCTCAAAGCTGATGCTCGTTTTCCTCCCATGCCCTTCCTTTCTTCTACACGATATCTTTCCTAATTTGTTCCTATCTTGATCTTTCTGTTGGGAATCTTATTTTAGCTTCATATTCAGAACAAGAGCCAGGATAGCCCAGTCAGTAGAGCAACTGGCTATGGGCTGAATCTTTATGTTCCATGGAATGTTGGGAAATTCTTGAATGGCTAAGCAACTGGCACCTTCTCAAGAAGGGCTCAGCTCCATAAGGTTAGTTATGTCCCAACCAAATCACTCATTACATTATGTACCGTGGAAGTGACTACTGACATGGAAGAGTGTTTTATGTTATCCTTCACCTTAACTGAGTAACTGCGATACATGCGGAGGCTTGAAGGGGATAAGAAGTATGGTCTTCCGAGTCGTAATGGTCTGTAGTTCAGAGAGAGCCCAATGTTTTAGAGAAAGATATCACCTCTATCTTCAGGGTCTAAGAAAAGTGAATAAATTGTATTTGATTTGACAGTTTTCACCAGTTCCATCTTTTGGTGGGCAAAGATTTGTACATTCATATTTGACAGAAATAATAAAATCTCATTCACAGACATGTTACTCATTTAATATAAATATGTAGCACACCAAAAGATACAGATGAGTCACTCATTTTGCATTTTCACTGACTCAGAATCTGTTCACTCAAGCCTGCAACCATGAGGACTTACAGTTTCAGCTGTTTCGCTGTGGAAGGGCCCCAGTGCAAACTTCTCACCTAACATAAGGTAAGTGTGTAAGTTGCCATGTCATGCAAGTTGGACATGTTATGAACATAATACGACAGACACAGCACTGTAAAGGAAATTTCACTTAGTTGGGGGTGGAGTCCAGATGGGCCCAATCAGCACAACTGCCACTGATTGGCCTATTGTACCTTCCCCGGGTGATTATGATGATGGCGAATTTGGTGGAATGAAGATTGGCAAGGGAAACTGAAGTACTCTGAGAAAGCCCACCCCAGCTCCACTTTGTCCATCACAAATCCCACTTGACCAGACCCAGGATTGAACCCGGGCCGCCACGGTGGGTAGCCTGTGACTAACTGCTTGAGCTATGGTGAGGCCACTGCAAAGGAATATTTGTATGAAGTGAGACTGCTCTTGTGTACAGACTTTTAAGGTGATGTATGGGGCACCTACCATATGTAAAAATTCACCTTTATCATAACTGTTAAGTACAGCAGTAGGGATCCTGGATGCAACTCAAATCCTCATACATAACCATTTTCTCTAATTACATGAGTTAATTTGAGTGTTACTTCAAGTTTTCTGCTACTGTGCGCTGTGATAAAATGAAAGGCCAACATCCCCAGTCAAAGAACAGCTACTCTTTATGCTAGTTTATAAAAAAAATGTGTTGAACCCATGTCTAAAGTTGATTTCAATTTCTGGATCTTCCTCTGTCCCATCCATATATAAATATCCTGCAGTCCTGTGTATGTATTCAATCAGGACAGGAGTCTAAAAATTGTGTGTCAGGGTCTAAGCTTACCAGAATCCATACTTCACATCAGAGGATTACACACGAACAAGGAGGGGTGTGGTAGGAAGCAGCTGCCACATATTAAAGACGCTGCATTCACAAAACAGCAATAAAGGAATCATGAATAACCTCAGTTGATATTGCTGGGACTGGAATTAGGTACTTCTCAAACGCAAGTAAGACGAACAAGTGCTTGAGGTATGCCCATGAAAATGGAACATACTGTCTCAGTCTTCTGAGAAGATGGAGGCCAGATCCTCAAAACACTGGTACTCACCTACTGACTACACAGTGCTATAACTCATGAAAGCACAATATACACATTTCAAAATACAGACATGTCTAAAACATCCATGGGGGTGTGTCATACCTTATGGAAGAAAAGTCGTGTATTCAATCAGATCCCTGGAATCTGGATTTTGGTTCCCACCATGTTACTGAACTTTCTACTAATGATGCAGCACCCTCAAAGATGTTTTACACAGTCTACTTTTATTTATGTCAGAACATCTGTATTTTTAACAAAGAGAACTATGAATAAATTCTGGTTTAAATATAAAATCACACATGGGGTCAGCACTGACTTGGAAGTTGGTTGCACTGTTAACATTACAGTTTCTGTCAAGCACCAAAAACCTTTTACATGTTTCTCTCAAAATGAAATTACTTCACAGGGATGAAGACAGTGGACTACTGCAAATGAACTGATAATTTTGGAGAACTGTACCTGAGTAAGGAGGGGAAAATGGAGTTCACTTTAACTCACTGCGCTAAAAACATGCCTGACTTGATAACTTACAGAAAGACCAGAATTACCTCATGCATCTGTCAACCTTTTCCAGTGCCATTTTAAGAAACTCTCAAGGAGTTAATGGGTGAATGTAATTTTCTCTTAGCATGCCCTTGCCTAAATCACCTACTTCCTTTTGTGTCCAAATTAAATTTCAAAGTTATTGCAGCAGTAAGAAATGGTTTACTTACAGGCAAACAATGTCATGGAAGGTGAGTTTTTTCTTTGTCTTATCCTTTCAATTAGACACCATAAATAAATGAATATGAGACCACAATGGCAAATCAAAGTTGTCATGTAGTCAGTCTAGGGCACATACTATTCTCTGCTTAAAAGCTGTGACTGAGTCTGAATATCCCACTTGGTGCATGGACACGAGTGCACATATTTTTACATTTGTGCTGTCCTGTGTAACCAGAGGTCTCACTTCCAAGGAGTGTTATCTATGTCTATCACAGTTTCGCAAATACTTCTCAACTGAAACAGGCCAGAGGCCCTAATCCATAAAGCTGAAGGATGAGCAAAAACATGTCTGTCACTTTGATCCCATGTGGCAACTGTGGATATGTAACCATCTATTTCATGTATGTGAATAAGTATAAAATAGTAAATACTGATTATATTGTTGAGTTGTTTGGAAAAATTAAAATGAGGTTCATTTATCTACTTTCAGCTATACCAGGGGTGGAGAAACGTGCAGTTTGAGAGTTCACAGACACCAGAAATGTCTCAATCCAGTGAAAGATGCCAGATATATCTTTCAGTGACTTCTAGTATCAATGCTGAGTCTCAACTTCTTTCATATATACCTGTCTCTGGGAACACAGCTAGCCTGGAGGGCAGTTCCTCCACCCCTGATTTAGAGATTTATACTCAAATCTATAAAATAAAAAAAGTAAAAGTCACATTAAATAATGGTCTGAAAATTGATATAAGTACCAGGCACTGACTGAACACATTCTGTCACATGGACCATCCACTTCTGCTCTCACATATCGTGATTAAAAGTTAAATTATCACACCTTCAACTCGCTGTACTACAATTTTAGAGGGCAAATTATATACTAACCCATCCAGGAAACGAGATCTGGACCACAAAGGAGTAACTCCACGAAGCAGATTTCTTCAGCGGCTGGTGGTCATTCAACGAGGCAAAAAATTTATCTTCTCGCATTACATCTTAAGATTCATTACTGTGTTCAAAAGAACTCCCCACTGGAGCCTGTCCTGAGACAGCTGAAATTAGCCCACACCCCATTTCATGAAGATATGCCTTCATACTATCCTCCTATTTATGCCTAATTCAGTTTCTTCCTTTCCGATCTTCCAAAGATATTTCTGTGTTTCTCATGTCAGGCCAAAATTTACTTGCTTCACAATATGAAGTGACACACGTGACGGAGAATAGGCACCGTAAATAACCAGTTAATGATCCTGCATTATGTAACGTTACCTATATGGAAATTACATAACACAATCATAAGATTCATGATACAGACCATAAGTTTGCCCTTACAGAAACTTTGGATAACTATTAATTTTTCTTAAACATAAACTATAACAACAAATTCAGACCAAATCTTTCTTTAGATTGCACAATATAATACCCTTATTTAAGTAAACTCACATGTTCCTATCAAAACTGTGGACAGAAACATCACAATAAAAATTTGTCTCCTCTTGTAATATGGGAGCCAAAAAGAAAATATGGTTTTCATTATGCAAATTCACAATATAGATAAATTTGCAAAAAACAGCCCTTCTGTAATATGGGGTGTGCTGTTTATTTTACGTAGGTAAAAATGTCACTGCATTTACTTAAGAACATCATCAAGGTGTACGGGACAGTGAAAGTACAACTCAGTACATAAAAACTCAGAAGGAGTTGCAGGCGAGAGGTGAGCTTTATGCTCTGGCTCCTTATGTGCTGCATATGAGGCAGGTTGCATTCTAGCATTGGTGTGGACACGGGGGCAAAAAAAGAAACACCTCTGAGCCTGTTCTTTGATATACGCTCTACAGGTGCGACCCAGCATAGATCTTGCTGTGGTCCACACATGGCAGCGAATGTGTTTAAAACAGTAAATTCAGTTTAAACAGCTAACATACAACATACATAACTTCACATTAACAATCCTTTCAACTGTACGTAGTAAAATATTCAAAATACAAAAGTAACAAAGATAAAATATATATAATCATAAAGGACACAAAAAGCAGAAAATAAAAAAGGTAAAACTATATACAAATAATGTGTAATTTTGGCTTTTAAGGTTTAGTTGTATCATGTGCTGAAGTTGTTCCAGTTGCCACATTCAGGGTGAATGAGACAGGGATGATGCAGCCCAAAATATAGAGGCTTCACAATGGAAGTATGGATGCAGTGTGGAGCATGACAACATCCCGTGCCTCCACTCTGGCACTCCGGTTGCATCCTCCCTCTCACTCATGGCCACTGGAACAACTTCAACACACAATGTGGCTAAATCCTGAAAGCCAATATTAAACATTCAACAGAGGCTACAAAAACTAAAAGACAACAGGAACATTGCATAGAAGGCACTGACAGTTGGCACCAACTGTTTAATTGCACTATACTGGCCGACATCATCATCTCATTGAGTACGACCATCACTTACCCCTCATAAGGGGAACTTAATCCTTTCAATACACATCCTTAAAAACAATTCTTGTTATATGCAACATGTTCAGTGATATCAGAACTTATATTGTGACTGGCAGGCAGATGAAGCAGTTGACCATGTTAACAAATTCGACATGCAGTTACTGGAGATAAAAGGCAAAGATAAAGTCCCTGTACTGTGGAGAAACGAAACCTCGTCCCTACCAGGAATCAAACACTGTCCATCCAGCCTGTAGCTATCATGACTGAGCTATTGCAGCCCCCTATTTATTGAAGCTGCTGAGAAAAACTAAAAATAAATTCTTAAGACTTGAGGGTCATTAAATTATATCAAGGAAGTATAAAGACAGGTTGAAGAGCACAAAATTAAAAACCTTATAGGTAACCCATTCACCATCACCTTTACAAATATATTGCCAAAATATGAACACATGCCATGTGTTATCAATTATACTCTTTACATCCTTTGGGTGTATGAGTGTGTAAGCACATAAGTTCACTGGAGTTTTATGTTCCCCTACCTGTCTCCCTTTTTATTCCAGTTTCCATCAAGCTAATTTCTAGATGGTGGAAGGTAAGGTAAAGGTCAAGCTATCCCTGTAACAGGCCATCAAAGCTCATAGGGTTGTGAGATGTCGAGGCTCCCACATTCACTAGACAACCGGCTCACAGATGATGGTGAGGTTTGTCAGCCTTACACAATGGCTGACCTTTACCCCCATGAATATTCCTGGTATTCATTTCTGTTAGAGGCTGAGTCGACCCCAGGGCCACAGTGTTGCTGGAAGGGTTAGCTCAACTGAAAAATCCAATGACCTCATTGAACCTGTGACCTTCCAGCTTGTAGCATAGTGCCACAACCATCTACATTACTGTGTGCCCAAGCTGACATAACTGTTGTTACAAATAAAAAGGATGGTTAACACAGAACTGCTCTTCATCTACTGCTTACAAAATCACAGTAAGTGAATCATGAATTCCATAAGCCTGTGGACGGCAGCTAACAAGTGGTATCGGTTCTATGACTGTATCTGTTTGATGCATACAATTTGCTCCATCATCACTCACTTCCTGGCATCGCACTTACGTGTCTATTCATCAGAGGTGTCGAGACACAGAGCGATAAGCGGATCTGAAACAGAGTGTGAAAACAGCTTCCATTTTGTGTGTAAAAAGTCAAGTTATACAACCAAACAAGAGTTGAAGCTCTGCTTTCCTGTTGCAAGCTTCTATAAAGAATAAATCTGCCCATGTTCTATTAAGCACCACAATATAAAGACCTTGTTACCAGGTGGATAAGAGTGGTCAGCTTGATGCCCCAGTCACTTTACCTCCAGGAAAAGCAGAGCCAGTCTGGGAGCTGTGGACAAGAGAACAACTCTTGTCCATGTCAGGAATCATACTGTGACTAACTGGTGGTCCAGCCCTGGCACAGCTGCTATACCAACCGGGCTATCCCTGTTCCAGTGTTAAGTCATTCTATATAAGAGGGAAGCCCATTTATAAGAAAACACTACACATCTTCACCAGTGCTATCTTCTGGATTGTGACACCATGCAGTCTGAAAGTCTTCATCAGGATTGAAAAGTAACCCAAGCAAGGAGGGACTGCATCATAGCTCAAGCAGTTAGTTGCTGGCTTCCCACCGTGGCAGCCCGAGTTTGATCCCGGGTCTGGTCAAGTGGGATTTGTGGTGGACAAAGGGGCACTGGGTCAGGTTTTCTCAGAGTACTTCGGTTTCCCCTGCCAATCTTCATTCCACCAATTGCTCCACAATCACCCTCACCTATCATCTGGGGCTGGTTCAATAGGCCAGAAGTGGCCGCAGTACTAGCAACTTAGTCCCACCCCACTAGCAATAAAAAGACCCAGCAAGCAAGAAGCACGATCATACTGTCAGAATTAAAACTGTGGTATATATAGATGCTCCTCATTATATACAAATTTGTTGGTGTGGAGGGGGGAGGCAGTTTCATTTTAACACACTCATCTGACTTTGATGAATTTCAAGAGCTTTAATGCAAACTACTTGATGGCAAATTGAGAGGTGGAGCAAAGTGAAAATAAGGTTCAATTTATGTGACTTCATTTTAACAATTTGCATGAAGCTGATTCAATACCCTTCCCTTTCCCCACAAAACATCCAAATTGCTGGATTCTATATACCCACTATGGTGGAGCGCTACCTGAGTGTTGCATTAATCCCGCTTTTCGAGGAATGTCCAATCCAGGGACTGATCTTCACTTAAGACCCTACGGTAGTGCTGGAAACTCTCGTTCATCAAATCTTGAGTCCTGAAACAAACAACATGAAGTCCTTAAGACTGCAGACATGTGCCATGTGATGCCAGGTAATATGGCAGATGCGTACCAACACTTCAGAGAAACCTGCAACCTCCATCATCAGGCAGGCAACATGCTGTCTTATGTAGTGACATCACTTCAGATGCAGAAGGTAGCTACTGATGAATAAGAAGTACAAACTCCGTGGCCTGTAGTCCGCATGTGAAGTATACCAACTGAGCGACCACCGCTTCTTGGCGAAGTTAGCGTCAACTTTTGAGGATATAGGGTGTCGCATGGTCAGCGCAACGGATCCCCACAGCCATTAATCTCAGTTTTCTGAACTGGATTTACAAGAAGTTAGATTATACAATTACCAGTAGCAAATGCCACCAGATCATTAAAAATTGGGGAACATAAAAAAAGAAAGTGCAGTCTCTTATGCATCCAATAAGTAAAAGGTTTTGCACTGTGCAGCCTACATGGCACAGAGTTCCCGAGCTTCACATGTGCTTCGCTAAGGGGAAACAGGCACTCTCACACCTCGACCTGTTTTCCAACAGCAGAGAGAAAGGTATAAACGCTGTGAACTCACAGGAGGCAGCAGAAAGTTGGGAGAAACATCCTTGACAAAGTTGATATGACATTATTGGGAAGATGCTTATGAAAACTCTCTACTTACGCATATCTCAGCGCAATGTTGTCGTTGATCATTACTGAAGCATCACAGTGTGAATCTAAGACACTGCAACTCAACAATGATGCCGCCAGCTGGTTGGCTGGTTCTTGAAAGCTTTGATTATTAGGCACCCGTGATGGCTGTACACAAGATGGAAAATGTTCTGTGGAACTGTGTTCACAAGCCGGCACAACTGTTGGCACTTCGTCTTCACCATTACTAACACTCATACTTGTAGACAAAGGCTTTGATGTGGTAATTACAACTGGTTGATCTGTCAGACGAGATTCTGTAACGTTCGTTGGTCTGGTGAATCCATTACATCGATCTGGCGTCTAGAAAAGAACAGAAGAATCAGCAATGATTAATAACACGTATCTTATTTAACATTCTAACAGACTAAACTAATGCTCTGTGAACTTGCTGACCGATTGCCAATTTTTGCCATACTTCCCAGACCCTTTAGGAAGAGCAGGTCAACAGTTTTACTCCCTGCAGTTCTGCTGCTAGCTTACCTACCAGCCCACCCACTTTCAGTAGTACACTAGAAGTCTGTAGTACAGGGTGAATCCTATAGAATCGGCCCGATGAATTTTCTAACAATTCCGCAGGTGATGCTCACAATTACAACACAATAATCCGTGGGCCATGCTGAGTCGAATGGTGTGCGCATGATCCGGCAAGTTGCAGCCCTTATGCTGCAAGGTCAAGGACAATCCCAAAACGTGTCTGCAGTGCACAGGCGACAGTCGTGGAGTACACTGTTGAACAGCGAGTGTTGCTAGTGCCTACTTGAAAACGGCGGACACTTTCAACACCTGCTCTGATCGCGGCACGCAATACAAGATAAGATATATGTAAATTACTTTAATATCTGTATGGTATATTTTATATTACAGCTCATTTCGTCAGGCCGGTTCTATATGAATCACCCTGTATTTCAATGTAAACAACTGAACATCAACGATCTACACATGTCCATGAAACTGCAAAGGGTACCATTTAACAACAGCTGAAAGAATGTGCTCGAACAGAAATCTCTGCTTCTGTTATGTGAGACCAGTCTGGACAAAGCACTAGTAAACAGCCAACCGTGGACAGATTAGCAACAGGGAGATTCTAATGGTAGTGTCAAGATGATATATGAAAATAAGAAATTGTTTCAGACAATTTTTGCAGCAGTAAGAATTCATTCCATTGTTTATGTTCAACCCTGTTCCTGAAACGTGCTATATCACTGAATTATAGCATATTCAGGAACAGATCTGGAGAACAACAGGCATGTAAAACTTTACCACCTTCATCGCTATTCTGCACCAACTTCCTTCTGTCTCAACAGAACACCTGCAACTCCAAATCCGGTCTCTCAACAATACACTTCACCAACCCTGAACCGGGTTAATACTGGATGCATCACAAGTGGGACTCTGGTAAATTGTAGATGCCAGGACAAGGCCAGAATGTAACAAGATGGCGAGACATATAGCGTATGACCAGCAAGCTCACCATCTGCACCCAGATATCACGCTGCCTATCCAGCTGCATCTGCCTCAGTTCCATTTGCACCTTGTTCATCACCTGGAGTGACGAGCGCAGGGGGTTCCACAGCTGTTCTATCTCTGCTTGAACATCTACCACTTGTCTGCAACATACCAATAACACAATACAGATGATGCCTTTAAATAAATAACGTAACACTTCTGGCTATATAGGAATGAAAACTGTGGTCCTCTGGCTTTGAACATGTACTCTGGCAGGTGGATATCAACATTTCAGGGGAATTTGCTGCACCCATATTTTTGTGCGTATTTTATTGCCTACGCTATTATAGTGTCAAATGGTGGGAGGAGAGATGACACAGAAAGCATTTGAGGTGGCAGTCACAGCCTAATTGAGGTACTATCAAGGACATTTGCCTGTAAGGAGTGAGTAAGACCAGTCAGGATAGCTAGTGTCCCAGTTGAGATTCAAACCAAGTATCTCCTGAACAGAGCCAAGCTGTTCAGCCTGCTTGATGTCACTGCTATGAGGGCTGAATGACCTTCGAACATCAGACGTTCAGTCAAGAAGGATATTAAAATATGTTGTCAACAATTTGGACCCTACATTAAGCCTCAGTAGTGTAGTTCCTGTCATGTGAGTTCACGTGTCAAACATATCAACTGGCAATGATAATCCGTCACAGCAAGATGTTCACATGAAGTTGTGTGAAAATTAGCCCAGTGGTTCAAAAGTTGAAAGGGGGTGTCAAGACACACAAGGGTGCACTGGTGACCTCATACATCACATCAGAACAAAAACTGTCTAAAAGTCAATTTGGCTGCTTCATAATAACATCTCATACTCGTATGTCACAGGATTCATTCACGGGTTTAAATTCAAGGTCATATAAATGAGATCTGAGGGTGCTGCCACTGTGCCTATAAGCTTAACTAACTGAGCAGTACAGCATAGAAACTTGGCATGTTCTTTAGACAGTAATAAAATCATTTCACTGTTAAGCCTTAGGCAAATGGGACTAGCCAATGGCATCCCCCCCCACTCACAGCGGATGTTACAGCTGTACTTACTGAAGATGGGTGTCAAATGCATTGTCATTCAGGAGTTTGTCCCGATGTTTGAGACAGTTGTACACAACTTTCACCATTTCAACGTTGTCTGTTCGTTCCTGCCGACTTTCCTTTGGTCGTCGACGTAAATTATCATAGCGTTTTTGGCCTGTTTCAAGACTGAAACAAATAACAACAGAAAGAAAATCGTTTAAAAACAAATTTACTTTTATGTTAACCCCTTCATATATCCTGTCATAAGGCTTCCAATATCATAATTTTACCACGGAGATTTAAAACTCCAAGATTTCCATCACCTGTGAAATTAGTGGCACATAATGATCAGCTGCTGAGTGTTGTATCTTTATTACTTATATTCCTTGACATCTCATCTAGTACTCTGCATACAGGAACAACAGATGACAGGAGTTTTGTATTTTTCCACACCAAACTGTAATTTCTTTTTTGTGAAAATTAATTTGGAGCTGGTACGAGTGTGGTTCAAAATAAAAAGGACGAAAAACCGGATAAAGCACATGGCAGCTAAGACACAGGGGATAAGCACAGGGAAGAACCTCAAGGCCTTTTAATTTTACTGGACAGGGAGAAGGGAACTTATGCATCACATAATTTTTACATATGAAAAGAAAAAGTGACTCTTCCCTTGTGCCACAGAGGCATAAAGGGGACTTGGGGGGGGGGAAAGCTCCACACATTCCAAATTCAGCATTAGCGATGGAGGGGGTTCAGTTTCACATTTTGATTGCTTTACCCTTGGAGAAAGAGTACCATGTCTTTTATCAGATTAAACTAGATGGACCCTGGAATTAGTATGGATGTGGTCTGGGGATCAAGCCACAGTTACCCGGCTCATAACCAGTCACTCCAACTAATCTAACCAGGAATATATATCGTCTAAAACTTTGTGATGATGGTACATTAATACAAATACCATGTTTCTGGACATTATCCACTGTTCTATTTTTATTCAAAACACCAGAGATAGGGACTAGTTCTATCAACTGGCCCCAATTGAATAGGTTTTACCTGAAGTCAGACAGAATCTGGTCTCCAAAACGTTTTGTTTTAAATGAAAACAAGACAAAGGATAATGCCCAGACACACAATAATTGTATGAGGATTATTTAACTGCTTAACACTTTCACAGTTGGCTATTTAGTCAACACATATGAATCCCAGATTTTCAAGAGTGAGCTGAGAGCAATATTTCTTGATCTCCATTCGAACATTGAATATTCAATCTCAAACTTTACAAATTTTCAGATAATTGCTTTTGACTTGCACAGCAGCCTATAAACTACCTGAGCCTTCACTAACTGTTGACAATGCTATCATAAATCAACTTGTCAACAAAATTAGAACTGAACCTTTTTTCATGTAGAATCATTCATGAAAAATTCTGACTGGAAATGAATCTGATATGAGAAGGTACACCCAGTACATTTAAGCAACTGCGAAAAAGTGACCAGTGCTACAAATTGTGATTACAGTGGGAAAAAAATGGTCTAGTAGCGAAAATTTTTTATAAAACATCGTGACATGAAAACTGAAAGCCAGAGCAGACATTAATGACAGGTTCCTGCAGCAATGAATAAGCAAGCAACAATTGCCATACTGTTGGGTCTGCCCCGAGGTTATATAATGACGCTCTGAGGCCAGCTGAAAAAATAACTGAAGGAGTCTCTTGAGATGACAGTCAAAGACGATTGAGAAGAGATGATGAGTTAGTTGAGACTTGAAAGTCAGCCTGTTAAGATAAGATTTGAAGACTTTATGTTTGCTGTAGTTATACTCAGACTGTTGCCAGTATACGGCTAGTGAAGACTGAGAAGACTTAGTGTGTCCTGCTGATCTGTAGCGCGGAAATCAGCAACAGTGTTATAATTATCGTAGTTAAGAGTTATGCGCTAAAGCGGTTAATAAATCCAGCTCATCCAATCCTTACCCTGTCAATTATCATACCTCTACATGTGACAATATTAAAAGACGTCCACAGTAAGTTTTTGAAAACAGATTATCACTGCAGAGGAAATTAATGATGAGGAAGTTCGGGGAAACAGGTTGATCGAGAGGCATTACTCCGGATGACTCACAGGAAATGGTAACATTTAAGGAAGAAGATGGTGTTTTAGTTAATAGTGATTCTTATTAACTTCCCTGTGGCAATTATCTGTTTGTATATCAGGAGATGCGACTGTTCACATGCTGCTGCAGAAACAATGGAAAACATTTTGATACTTACAGTGACACAAGAACTTCATGGTCCCTCTTTATGCAGGTGTTTCTCTGAAGATCTATGGTCCTGCTATTGACTACATCACATTTACTTTGAAGCTGACTGACGACTTCCTTCAGTTTGGCCATCCTCACGCTAAGAGCAGAACTCACTGTAGTCCATGAATGCACAATGTGCTCAGGGACTGTCACAAAACAAAATGGTGTAAGTCTCCTTATCGGTTCCAACTTCCAAAGCACAGAAATAACAGCTGCAAACAGTGCCTGCCAGTCTGCAGTGCACTAGGTCATTCTATGTACATTTCACTTTCAATATTACTCTTGCTGTAGCCAATGTGTTCAAAACTGAACAAGACTTACAAAAGTCAATTCTCTTTGCCTCGTCTTCATCAAAATGCAGGGAATCTATGAATAGGTGGAACTGTGCCTCAACCTGCTGGAGCCGACTGACCACTGCCTGTGCTTGTTCGTTCAGCCTGGCATTGTTCAAGATGATATGGAGCCTGCAAGATGCAACCAGCAAGGAACATCACATTATTGTGTCAGTGGGATATTCAATGAATCTGTTGGTAGCTAAGACTACACAGCGTAAAATGGAAGGATGAATCAGATATGATATGGAATGAAGAGGTCATTGATGACATTTTTGTATTAATGGTATGTATATTTACCAAGGCAACTTACTGCAATTCTACATTTTTATTTCACATTAATATAATAAGAGATAAAGCGTCTTCATCTGGCTTCTTACTTCAAAGAGTAACTAACTAACTAACTAACAAAATATCCTTTGTCTAAAACGTTTCTGAAGGTAAGTCATACCTTTTTTGGTAGGCAACCTTATGAAAGAACATTTCTCTGCATTCAATGAGATCTCTGGCATGGAAACTTTATTTTCCATTGTTGAAAAAAGAGTGTAGTAACTTTGTAATAATGGTATGATTTATGCCACTTCTGGATGATGTCACAACCTTGCATAAACAATGGCATCCATTGGGCCCGCACAGTTGGCCATGCTGTGTTACTGCTACTCACATCTTGACTCTGTATGCTTCCATGAATGTCTGGTAGAGTTCCATTTCTTGCCGCAGGAAGAACACAGCGTGGGCCCACGCTCTCTTCTGGTGAATGTACTCTACTCTATGGCGAGGATCCTCCATCATCTTGCCCACGGTCACAGGTATGGACGGTGTTACCTTTCCTATTGCCAGTGACCCATGAAGGAACAAATAAACCATAGGTTTCGAGCTCTGCAAAGACAAAATATTTGTCCCCCCGAGGGACACCATCCAATTTGTTTATGGTTGAAGTAGTGGCACAGTTGGTAACTCAGACTGTACGGTGTCAAGCGGTAGGAAAGGGTGTGTAATGAAGCGACTGTGGCCTAATTGGGGGTACTATCCCAGCATGTGCCTGACAGGAATATGACTTTTCTTCTCGTAGTTAAGACTACATAGCATCAAATGGTAAGATTAATCACTGAGGAAAGAGCTCATGGTATAATGAGGATATTAGCCCAGCACTTGCATGGAGGGGGGACGAAAACAATGAAAAACCCCAGTAATATTTTTCCTCGAACCACGTCATATATATACATCACCATTGGCAAAACAGCAATTTTTGAACCATAGCCTCTCTAGAAGACTCTGTAACATTGCATCTGGTTTCTACTTCTTTGGATTTTGTGAAAATAATTCTTTTACAGAGCAAGGTGGTCAGTCTTGCATCCAACCTCCAACCTGGAGGACCAGGTCCCTGTACTTATACCCCCAGGCATTGTGTTCCCTTCTCCTTGACTTCTATGACTTGCAGGGCTACCAGATGGAGTTAGTGAGGGAGGGGGAGAGGAAAGCATATATATAAGGCTCAGATTTACTACTCCGCAATTATGTACGTCACTTATGAGCTGGTAGCAACAGGCAGAAAAATTAGTAACATTTATGAAGAGGAACAGCAGATTGCAGCACTAAATGTCACTTGAAGACATGTGTGAGTCATTGACAATGCAGTATATTTAGAATCTTGGTATAAATTCTTATATTTGGTATTAGAGTGAATTATAAATTGCTTTACTGGGGATAAATATTTCTGGGGGAGAAGGGAATGGATGTCGCATGTAAAAGTAAAAGTAAAGGTATCCCTGTAATAGGCCATGAAGTCCCATAGGGTTGTGAGATGTTGAGGTTCCCACATTTTCTAGACAATCGGCTCACAGATGGTGGCAAAGGTGTCAGCCTTACGCGCTGGCCACCCTTTACCTTCAGGAAGATTCCTGGTACTCATTTCTGTTAGAGGCTGAGTCGATCCCAGGGCCATAGAGCAGCTGGAAGGATTAGGTCAATTGAAAAAAAAAATTCAATGACCTCATTGGGACTTGACCCCATGACCTTCTGGCTTGTAGCATAACGCCTCAACCATGCTACTGCATGTACACAGAAATTTTTCTGAACTGATTTTTCACTCAACAATTTCCTGCTGACATGACTGCGGGCTCGATACTAGCATTACGACACACACTGACCTGATTATGAGGATCTGGGGGCACCCAACACTGGCATGCTTCCTTGGTCATGTCAAATGGCTGGCCTGAAGGGAGCAGGAGCTCCTGTTGCTCGACGGGAACCCCCGTGTCACGTTTCATCCACAGCTGAAGTGTACTGATCGCGGTCGAATCATCAACTTCATAACTCAAATGCTGGTACGTTGGCACAGAGAAGATGTTTACAATCTAAAATTAAAGACAAGTCCACTTATTAAAAAGAAACATTAAAATCTTGAGAATATGACAGAGTAATTTCCAAATAAACTGAAATTACAAACCTTTTTACTCAGAATGTCTTCTATCATATCAAATACAACAATTTCTAGTTCCTTGTTTTTGTTAATGGCACGTCCTCGTTTTGCCGCGTCCCACTCTAATAACGATGTAAGCCATTTCTCCATATGATACTTGAGAGAGCTGCCAACAGACACAAAGAGAAGAGAGATAGAGATGAGGTTCTCACGGTGCAGATTACAATAACTACATGTGACGCTGTGCGGTCCAGCATGCTCCTCCGAAATGCTGGCATCTACCTGTCAGCTTATGAGGCACCACATCTCAGTACACAGTCAACAACATGGGAACCTGAAAGCTCACAAGCTTAACAAAGTCTGCTTAACACTGGACTCTAAGTACAGTAAACCCTTGTCATAACAGACCCGGATATTACAGACAAAATATGGCTGTGCACAACCGATAATTTTTAGATATACTGAGGCACTAAAAAGGTTTCATATTTGGAGAACTTCTCCAAATAAAAAAGAACCCTCAATATAAAAATCCTTTATGCAATCAAACTGTATTTCTGTGTTTATTACAGGTATTAGTTATGTATCCAATAATGCACTTCTGCGATACCCCTTCACTCAGTTATAGCAGGCACTGGCCATACTGGACAACTTGTCCTGTTACAAGAAGCACTTACTGGACCTACAATTCCATCCTCGTCTCTAACGGACACTGCTTCATTAGTCTGCCTGTGTTTCTCGGCTACAACTTAGAGATGATGGATGCAGTTGTCATGCATAGACATTAAAAAGAAGCAGTGGTTTCAAATGCCTATATTTGGTACTAACATATTAATGGGTGATACAATTAACTTTAAACTTTATCATCATGACATCTCTCATATCAGAGCTGCAAACCATAGAAATTTACTTGTAAACACAAACAAAAGAGCCTAACCTTATAAGAATTTAGGATATTTTTACTGAAAACCTAATCTTTACCAAAAGAACTTAAGGCCTAACCTTTCGAAAACAAAACCACAAGTCTAACCTTGTGGGCTTACCACTGGAGGAAAATTCTATGGTCAGACTTGGGGTTTTGTTTTCACAAGTAAAGTTCTTATATTTGTGGCACTAATATGGTGACAATATGGTGACAAACATGATTTGAGGTCCTCACAGCAGTGGTTAAGAAGAGTTCTGTCTTTTGGTATATAATGCTGTGTAGTCCACCGAAAGTCAACGTGTGTTTCGGAGGAACATGCTGCCTCCATTTTCAGGGTTGAAGAACAGGCCAAGCAAGAAACCTGTGTGGAAGCAGCTTGCCATCTGATTTTATGCTGGTTCCTCTGAAACTCGGCTGACTTTCAACAGACTACGTGGCGTTATATCCCAGAAGACGTAATTCTTCAATACAGCAATAAATTTTGAACTTACATAGGCCAACTGTCAATATGGAAGAACCCTTAATATAATGCACTGTTTCTGAAATCAAAACAGTAATAAAGCTTGTAAAAACATATTTGACACAAGTTCACTAAGCATATGATACCACTTACAGAACATGTTTTGAATTTGTTATGCAACTTTTCTTTGGCACTGCTTCAGACATCAGCAAAGACTTCTGCTAGCTAGGGCATGTAACTCCCAAACTATCATACATTCTATGACACCAAATTCTGTATGATGACCCCATAAATAGGATTTCAGATATCTCCATAAACGATGACAGAATTCTGTAAAAATATTCACCTTGAAATATGATTCTGATGAAAAAGTTCCTTGCTGAATACAATACTGCCATCTTGAGCCTGATATGCACAGATGTCATCCGAGGACTTCTCCCTCACGTGGGTCATCCTGAAATAATTCCTGTCATTTTAACATGCCCTTACAGCTATTGAAATTTGCTGTGATCAATGTTAGTATTAGCAATAATTATGTGGCATTACATCAATGCAACTTTAATATACAACTGAATTATGCACAGTTCCTTTATTATGCAACATACTCTGGTCTCTCGTCCAACATCTGGCCACCTCACTTATACTCTGGTCTATCGTCCAACATCTGGCTACCTCACTTACACTGTCATTTAACTGTTATTAACTACATTGGCCAGTGTTAACAATTTGAGCCTCTATGTATGATGCAATTATTGGGTGCACTGTAGAGACTATAAAGACTATCTGATTTTACTGTGTGGTGTTAAACCTTCAAAGTTGAAATGATAGCCTATGGGCCAAAACACTGCATAATAAAATAACTGTATACAACAGTCGTGTTGAGGGAACTTCTCATATTAATCAAGAAAGCACAACATGTGAGTCAAATGCAATATTTCATGTATTAAATAATTTTTAAGGTAACTATTCTAAATATACAAGAGGGGTCGATCAAGTAACATATGAGGGCGTTAAACATGTATTTATTATTTCAATACCAACATCCAACAGAATAAGGAACAATAGACAAATTCTCTATTTCCCCACATAATTCCCAGAACAACTGAAGTGTTAGTCCCAGCGACATACAAATTGTTCTCGTCCAGCAGAGAAGAAATCAGGGCTTAACGTTTGCTCCTTCCAAGTGTCGCAGTGGTACACATTCCATTGCACTGTGGTCTATGAACTGATAATGGAGAATGTCCTCATGTCAACAACTTCTCCAGAGACTGGTGAGAATTTCCTGCACATTCACCATTCAGCCTGTACCCTGAGCCTAGCGATTTCTAGTTCTGTGAAGCGCTATGGAAGAAGTTCAAAGGAAAACAGTTCTGACATGACCAGATGAAAGACACAGTTCACCGGCGGGTGCAAACACTGAGCACGTGTTTCTTCTCTGTGGTAACAAAACGGGCAGCATATGGCTAGGACCTCAGTCAGTCAAGCTTGTTGTTTTGGACATTCAAGTCTAAATAACAAACATGAAAATAACATCCCATCAGACAATACTCATTAAATAGTCTACAAAGGGGGAGGTTCCATCAGTGTAAGAGTGGAATAATGCAACAGCTTACTTCTGACCCATTTTCACATTATTAGAAGATAGAAATGTACATTCTTCCCTGTACATACCATGAAACAGGAGCCATGTTGGGCAAGAATGGACGAACACCAGTTATAACTTCATGTGATACCAAACCAAGGCTCCAATAGTCCACTGAGTAATTATACCTGAAAGCAATAGTAACAATCTGCAAGATGTTACAAGATACGTTAGTTCTTTCTTCCTCAGGTAACACAAAGTAACGTACGTTTTGCTCATAAACAGTTCTGGGGCCAAATACTGCAGGGTGCCAACAAATGAAGTGCAAATACTGCTCTGATCGAGTTCCTTGGCGTATCCAAGGTCGATCAACTTGTACACAATCTGAAACATAAATACATTATCACAAATGCAGCAAAAAGTCAAATCATCCAGTGACAATACAAGAAACAACCGTCACCCTTCGGACTTTTGAACCAGACTGAGTGGCACTGAATTTTTTGTTCTGGTTGGTGTGATAATGCTTTCACTCTCTTGGTCATGTGTCTCATTATAATTCTTGGCACTAAAACTGAGAGTAATAAAACTGGTAATGGCAGCCGGGCTCCAATCTGCTTGGCGAATATTCCATTCATCTCTGATACACGCATCAATACATGCGGATTTAAACTGATCATCAATTCATAATCAAGAAGAACTAAAATCTGATGATGTGTACCTTATCCTTCACTTGTTGCAGAACTATGTTTTCTGGCTTGAGATCTCTGTGGGTGATTTTCATGGAGTGCAAATACTGAACCGCACTTTTCACATCTGATATCAGCAACCTGACTTCTGCTTCACACAGGCCGCAACAATTTTCACTACGGTTTAAAACCTGAAAAAAACAGTTTGGGAATAGTAGATATAGCAAAATGTTACAAAACATAACTTCATAATGTAGTATTTTAGCGTCCCGTTGCACTGATTTTCATCCATGATATGCATGTAATGGCCATCTTGTAGTGCACCCAATTTCATATGTCACTTCTTACTACATGTTTCGGCAACATAGTGTCATCTTCAGGTTTGTTATTTACACTAAGCTATTACATTGTTTGCCATCTTGTGTCTTTCATAAAATTATTTAGAAAGTACATTATTCATCAACTATAATAAAATTTGTATACACTAAAACATAACTTCGTGAGCAGTATATTACTGGACAATCAGTATTCGTCCAGGGATAACTCAAATACACATTTCATTATGGTAAACCTTCTCGTTTACATTGTCACATATATTGCTGTATGGCCATTCCGGCTAGCGTGGGGGGGGGGCTTATCAACATCATGTACGCATATGTATGCACAGTGATATCCCCGTAACTTCAAAGCTTACCTGTCTGAGATCACCTTTTGAACAAAACTCCATGCACATTAACGGAAGCTTTGAGCGTAATACTGCAAGATCTGGCGGCACTGCGATTGCTTTCACCACGTTCGGATGATCTAAACGTTGCATAATTTCTACTTCTTTTGACCATCTTTCTTTGTGCTTCTCAGTTAAAAGTGCATCTGTGCCTGTCCTACATTTCTTCAGTGCTGAAAATGGTGAAAAACATAAATAAAATAAATATAATGTAATATGAAATGTACTCTAGAATAAGTCCTTACAGAATGATCACATTAATCAGTCTGATTAATCAATAAATTATTCAGTTTTCTTCCAGTGACTATGCTGAACAACCATATATATTATTCCAGAACCAAATTATGATACAAAATGAAGCCTTGCATTTAATATAGAAAAGGTAAAGCTATCCCTGTAACAGGCCATGGAGACCCATAGGGTTGTGAGACATCGAGGGTCCCTCATTATCTCTAGACAATCGGTTCACAGATAACGGTGAGGTTATAATACATGCAAAAACATAACTATCCTGTTAGTTTCCCATTTCCTACCACAGACATACTGGAGAACTCCTGAAGATATTATGAAATTTATTCACTGCATACTCTTGCCAAGATGTATGGTAGGCATGGCTGTTAAAGCAACGTACATGTGCACACCCAGGGATAACTTTACCTCCACAACTAACTACACAGACCAAAGACCAATTATTATTAATTAACCAAAATTAACTTATCAAAGTTAAGAGTCATTCACCTGGTTCAGAAATTCCCTGTCTCTTATGAAACCTGAGGCTTCATTACCTCATTCACAAGAGCCAGCTATCAGTCTCCTTCCTCAGCCAGATTAATCCACTTCACAAGCTCACACTGGGTTCAATAAGACTGCAAAGTGAACACATAAGGCCGTGCCATAGCTCAAGCAATTAGTTGCTGGCTTTCCACTGTGGCGGCCCGGGTTTGATCCTGGGTCTGGTCAAGTGGGATTTGTGGTGGACAAAGTGGCACTGGGGCAGGTTTTCTCCAAGTACTTTGGCTTCCCTTGCCAATTTTCATTCCACCAACTGCTCCACAATCACCCTCACCTATCATCTGGGGCTGGTACAATAGGCCAGAAGTGGCCGCAGTACAAGGGACTTAGCCCCACCCCACTAGCATTAAATAAAAAAGTGAAAACATAAATCAAGCTGTGTAATGAGTGTCTAAGTGTCTGATGTGACTCAAACTGTCTGACACAAGTTGTACCTCACCAATCATTTCATCCTTCGTCTTGTGCCGCCAAAGGGTGACTTGTCCAAAGCCACCACTTCCAAGGACTCTCTCCCTCACCCAGTTTTCAACCTCCAGAGGTTCATCGGCAGCCATCTCTGAGGTCTCAAAGTAAAGAAAAGTAAATCAGATAATCAACAAAATGGCTTTAAATGTCTATATCATGAGGAGCAAGATTTTCTGATTCATAACACTCCATAGTTCAGAGACAGCCTGATGTTTTGAAGAAACATATCATCTGTATCATTAGGACTGAAGATTACATGAAGCAAGTAACCAGAAGAAGCAAACAACAAAACTGAACTCAGGTCAGTTCTCTCTTTCACCTTGACGATGGAGGTGACATGTTCCTCCAAAATCAATAGTAAAGACATGAGAGTGCAAACAGGTCATTTTTATGTGTACCTTGTTCATTATAAATCATATTAAAGTTATTCAAAGTACTGGTGATCAATATTCTGTGGCTGACTGTTAACCTTTTAAATCAAAGTGGTAAGTATACTGCCACGATTTAGGGCTGTGACTATAGATGGGGTACAGATTGGTGAATGGATTTACTGACCACTTATACACACAACTCGGAACTACGTGTAATCACAGCGCTATCCCTGATTTCCACACTTCATAAATCACTACACGCTAACCCTTCTCCAGCCTGTGTCATCAGTAGTCATTGCTTAGTAACAGTTCTCAACAGTGGAGATTCTTCAACTTGTGGCCTCATGTCATTACTGTCTGGTGAATAACCCACAACTTAACTACAGCACCATATCTTCTCAGCCTCCCTTGCAGAACTCAATTCTCAACTAACTGGTTCAAAGTCAAACTCAAAGTCACATTGCGACTGACAATCAGTCAGTCACTCAAATTGTGTTCCTTAGAACCCCTATGCATAGACTTAGTAGAAAACACAGTTTCCAACAGTAACTATATTGTTCTGTGTATATTCATTCCAGGAGGACTATATTTACCGACCCGTTGCCTAGAAACGGACGTTGTTTATATGCCTGTCTGGCAGTCTTTGCATAGCAATGGCTGTACACACTACAATATGCATCACCTGCTAAAACATTAAGAAACCCTGCATTTTTCCCTCACAGTGTAATTTGTTTATTGACCGTCACAAAGTTTCCATAACAGCATGACCCAACTGATCACTGCAACTGAGAAATGGTGAACCTCCAGAAATTACAAAATTGAGGTGCATTTTACAGCACAGTCAGCATTGTGACTAGCTACAAGATGGATGGTTGAGGGGTCACAGTTTGAGTCCCAGTAGGGGCAAGATTTTCTCCTCTCATCATCCAGTCCAGTTCTGGGGTTCATCTAGCCTCCTATCCACTGGGTACCATGGGCTCTTTCCTCGGGGATAAAGTGGCCAGGACGTGAAGCTGACCACTCACATCCAACTAGTGCTAAAGTCAAGAATACATGATCTATACATCTACTTCCTAATGCCTTCATACCACAGGACTCGATCAGTTACACAAAGGGATTAATTTACTTCTTTTCTTATACTGAGATAAATTTCAGGCTTCAAATGATTACTGCAACCTGTGCATTGTTACAAGAGATGGGACAGTATCAGTGTATAAAGAATTATTCAAATGTTCCTTTGCAACTGATTTTACATAACCACTGCTGCAAGTTGAAACTTGATCTTATAACAGAAATATGGCTAGTCAGTCCATAAGATGCACTCTTCAGTTGGATGTCAGGCAATGAGGATCGATCGATGCAAACTAATCTCAGTTATCAGCAGAATTATTAAATAAAGTAATAACAAATCAATATGGGAAATCCTCTAGGACACATCAGTAAGAACATTTATAATGTACCTGGTCTGAAATGTAGCAAAGACTACAATAATACATTGCCAAATTTTGATAAATTCAATAACAAATGAACTGTAATTGATTATGGTAAGTTGGATTGGGGTGGGGGGTTATTTTACATTGCTGTCACTATCTAGATTATACAAAACAAAACAAACTCCATGATTTTAGTCTGCAAGGGAACTATTACACAGCATGCAATATTAGGGTGACCCATGACTGATGTACCGCAAAAAGAGTTCCAAAATTATCTAAAGTAGATCAGTGAACAAAACAAGGCTGTAACTGACTCATTTAATATACTTACCACATTTCTCCACTGGATGCTATGCCTACAGTTTTGAATCCTAACCTCAATTTCTCCCTGGTAAGATAGGGAAACTGTGCAGTTCTAAGTTACTGTTTTAGTAGCAATAAAAATCAGCATATGAACCACACTGGCCGACTGGCCAGAACGCGTATAAGAAGACTGGACCAGAGATCCTGACACAGGTCAGTGATCTGGTTACCTCTTCCTGATATAATTATTTCATCACATCTTTTTATAAATACAGCAGGTAAGACTGCTACACAATTTTCCCTTTGAGAGAAAAAATATGATCATGGATGCAGGCAGGCAGGATGGGGTGCCAGATAAGCATGAAGGGGTAGGAAATCAGGAAGCAAAAGAAAATATATACAGGGTGTCCCAGGAGGAATGTGCCAAACTTCAGAAGGGTGTTCCTTATGTTAAAGCATGCCGATATAACCCAAAACACCTATGTCCAAAGTTGAACGGTTACGAAGCTAATGGCCCAAGAAAAGTGTGGTCTTCTGGCGGGTCCACACACTGTACCAGTCAGCTGACAAGTCTTATCAAAGTTTGTCCTTGAGTGTGGTGATGATGAGTGACACTAACTGCATACACTGGCACACCAGAACGCGCAGTCAGCAATGTTACATCAGCGCTTTCCATTCTTGTGTCATGTATAGCGCTTGGAACTCTTAACAACAACTTTGACATAGCGTGCGAGTTTTTTGTAGTTCAATTTAATGGCTTCATGTCACTCACAAGTTAGTTTGATGTTATGTGCATTATTAACATTACAGAAACCACATATTCCTGCCAGTTTTAATATGTATTTGGTAATCAACTTGTGTGTAACACCTGTCAAAGTTTCACACTTCTCGAGCCATTATCTCCGTAACCGTTCAACTTTGGACATAGGTGTTTTGGATTTTATTGGCATAGTTTAACATAAGGAACACCCTCCTGAAGTCTGGCACATTCCTCCTGGGACACCCTGTATATATACACACAAAACATATAAACACCGAAATTGTTTTTTCAAGTTTATTTTTCTGTCCTGAAAGCTCTAGAGGAATGGGTAAGAATAATCCTAAAAAAACTAATACACAAATTTGTAAGAAAATTTTCTGGCTGTTCACCTTAGGGATGGGACCCTGGTGGTGTCCATACATAAATTCTGATCAGGTCAACATATATCACCCTCAAATAAGCAATACAAAAAAAGAAAAGAAAGATACTGACTTCAGGTCCCAAAATAACAAGCCTAAGGGTATTCCACCCTCTTCACTACTTACGAGAATAAACTACATTATACATGGGAAATAATGCATTTGGTCAAGCATTTTCCAAAACGAGAACATTTGGATTCAGAGCCTGCATCCCTAGGGGGAGACAGGTCATATGCATCCTACAGATTCTTGTTACTTAAAATATGGAACAAGTAAGTGTACAGATAAACAGAAGTCCTGCTAGAATAAGCATAAAACATGCGTTTTAATAAATTTTACACAAATGGCAAATTCCTTTTAATTATACCAAATATAACTAACAAGCTATTATATATAGGTTTACAGATTCATCAACAATATGTGCAACAAAAAGGAATTCTTTTAATGCCAACTGAAACTGTCTTGCCCGTGGGTAGCCCTTTAATTCCTACTGGGAGCTTGTTACACAATTTCATTCCTTCATAATGTACAACCTCTGGGAACACTGTAAGACCAGCAATTGTCTCTGGAGAAAGTTCACTTTCCGAACCTCTGAAGGAACTAATAAACACCACAGTTAACCATATGGGTAATTAAATATGTGCATTGCTTATACTTTTCCTGCTTCAATCCAAATTAGTAATGACGACAAATCAGTAGTATGATTCCCATACACCCTAAGTTCACGAAAATATAACAAAGTAGGAGCGTGGGCGAGAGGGAAATACAAATTATGGAAATTCATATTTTATCATTTTCATATATTTAATTTACGTCGCAAATTCAAAGCACAAAGCACATTCTACAAACTGACATTTTATAAGTAAACGCGAACCACAAATAACCCAATTGTTACTTTTTTCCATTAATACTTTATTTAACCTCAAATATTTCTAACATACACTTTAAAATTTAAACTTACAATTTCTCTCCTTGAAGTGTATATTTCTTAAGAACTACAATCCTCAACCTCTTCCGTAAAGATATTGCTATACGGATAATATACAACTTGAACAGCTGATACTAAGCACGTTTAGAATCACGTGAAATATCTACATGGTTAAAATCCAGCGGTAACGCCAACTTAATATGCATCATACACTGTCTGCAGGACACAATTACAAACGTAAAAGGAAACCATCCCATTGTGTGCTTTCAGAAACTCTACAAATTTGAATATCACTGCAACTTGGACGTCAAATTTGCACACACAGTCATAGAGAAATTTTTCATGTATGATTTAGGAGGCCGGGAGTACAGGCAAATGAAAATTTTACCTCCAGCTTGGCAAATTTCAAGGATATTGCAAAAACAAAAGAGCTATTACAAAAACTTGTCCAGCATTTACTACAGTATAGGTTAGTAAACATCCATACATGAATTTTTACAACTTGTAAATACGATGCACTTCCTACAACTCACGAAAATGGGGAGAAGTCATAACAAAATTAAACATAAAAATCAGAAATAGCCACAGTAAAACAAAGCAACTTGCAAATATTCTTTCCCACCTTCACCATATTTGGAAAATTGGAAGGTGAAAGATGGAAACATGAAACGTACATCTAAAAATGAACACTAAGAGGCAAACTCAAAGGAATTTGAGTTCTGGTTAGCATGAAATTGTATACAATGCAGACTCTTCACTGTAACGAATTTGTTTCCATTGATACAAAGTTCTGTGATACTTGCTATATTATCTGCAGTGTACATTTCTGATAAGAGCAAGTATCATCTTCCCAAAACTTTGTGTCAATAGAAAGAAATCAGTTGCAGTAAGTCTGCATTGTATACAATTTCATGCTAAGCACACCTCAGTCTGCCTTTATTTCACTGTTATGTCTTTTGAATTCACATTTCAAACACGAATTATCTGTCAGTGGATTGTGTATGTCCTCTTGTTCGCATCTTCTTTAATGGAGTTGAGTCTATTCCCCGAGTGCTATGTCTTTCAATTCTTTTTGTCTTAAGGAACAACATTGTGTTGTTTCTTTTCCCATCATCTGAACAACTCACAGGTGTGGTAGCATTCTCCACATCCATAGGGCTTTGTCCTTGTCCCTGATCATGTTCCTCCCCCTCATCACTTGCTGGATAGTCCACTAGACTTCTTTTACCACCTCCACCTACTTTGTCTGGGCTTAAATTTGTCTCTGGTGAACTATGACCACTGCTATTTCCAACATTATTAGATTCTGCTGCCATGTCAGACTCCTCCTCTCCATAATCATCTTCCTCTGTACATGTAAAAACCAGGCCTCCTTCAACTGTTTCTTCTTGTGACTGTATTTCCAAGGATGAAGTATTGACATCTGCAGCCACATCGCACATACCATCCTCCTAGAAAATGAAGTTACAATCTGAATCAGAAAAAAACATTACTAAATGGAATGGAAGGGCCTAGGAGAGTTAAACAGCATGTAAAGATAGCAGCTTTTAAGTGGTGCCTGCACAGTTACAGCCACGCCTTAGCAACTTGACCTGAGAGTTTAGAAAAAGACCTGTATGAGAAGGATATTCAAGCACACAACCAAGTGACCTCATCTGCAGTATTCTAGAAGCCTTCATCCTTTCTGAAGATCTGGATAGGAGAATAATGTTCATGCAGGTACCCTAGCAATGTGTGGCCAGGAAAACCTTCTAGTCACGGGGGTTTTTTTTTTCATGCTATGCTTTCTAAAACCTCCTACAAAAATGTACAAACTATAACGCCACAAATTTTCAACTGCATACCACAAGTTGTGCAATTGCAGCTGGAAATAACTTAACTGTATACATTATAATCAAAATGGCAAACTTTCCTCACTCGTGTGTAATATTTTATGCCAATTTTTCAATGTAATTCAATAAATAATGTGTAATACCAATTTACTGTTTTTAAGTAACTAAATGGGAGAAAATGTAACGTTCTTAATCTTTTCTGTATCTCAGTTGCAAGTCAAAAAATATATTACCCTTCAACAAAGACCAGTGGTTTTCATATATGACATTTCAGCTATGCACTTTATATTGATAATGAAGCAACAAAAACTATCAAGTATAACATGTGGTAGTTAGAAACTTTATTAGATGAACTATACCTTAAATGTTTCAGTCCTATAGGGCCATTATCAGGTGTACACGAGTTACATATGCTGTTCAACATACATCAATTCCTAGCAGTAACATTTACAAATGTATGTTTTCAGAGTTCTTATGTATACATTGCCATATACACTTCATTTATTTATAAATTACGGCTATTTATAGATAAGAACTCTCTACACTCTTAACTGTACAGGAATGCAAATATTGCTGCTACAAATTGATGTACACTAGGTGATATGTTTACCACATAAGCCTCTGATGCTGGCCCTACAGGACAAGCATTTAAGGCATGTTTTTAGCCAATAAATAAAGTTTCTAACTACTATGTGTTACAGTTGATGGTTTTTATTACTTCACCATCAGACATGTGGCATGTAGAATTGTAACTCATCCTTCTACTGATAATGTCAGGACACAAGCTACAGTGCAGTGATAGCAACAGTAAGAGCCGTCGACAAGACCCAACATGTTTTCACATAGGCTGCTCTGCCCTCTCTTTGTTGGAGGACAGTACATTTTGCAGGCATCACAATGCACCTCCAGTACATGATTTAAGCTGCACTAACAGGGAGAACAGCTAGGCCAGTTAATGCATACAATTTGAGCTAAATTCTGGATTCTGAAGTCTAGAAGTTGTAGCCAAGCACTTCAAGCAATTATGATTAATCTGCCACACATTATCCACTCTCCTTTTGCTAATGTGTCACTGTCACATACTTTCAGATCTTATCTTAAGCAATTAATAGATGAAATAACGTAAGTGGTTATTACTGAATTAATAAGGCCTAATGAATAAAAATTTCTTCTGCATTTATGGATATGGCACTAGAGCCTATCCCAATTCAGAATTAACTTCTTGAACTGTGAATCCTCTATAGATTTTTGGTAAGACCCCTGAACAGGGGCACCCCACTGCAAGGCCCCTTCCTACAAAGAACACAAAGAGAAAAACTGTGGACCTACATCCATGATCTGAGTGGGTTCTCGTGTTCAAGAGGTCAAACACAGAACCGAGCTTAAGACTGCACACACACTGTGACCAGCGAATTAATTATTCTGCCACTGAAAAACTAGTAACAACTTTATCATGTGCATTAAGCGAATATATCTGTATTTTAATATGCAGAAAATAGTTTTCAGAGCTGAAAATTCTGCATTCATAACAGCAGAAAGTGAATTTATTTTGTTTGGACAAGAAAGATAACAGTAGTACATCATCGTCTGTCAAAAAGAACGTATTAATTATCTTGACCTATTCCAATCTAGTGTTAAATTAATATCATTCTCTAAATGGGGTATGAATAATGAACCACAAAGATTCAACCAACTTGTATACCAAAATGAATTCTAGAGATAACATACACACTGGAGATCTTGGCAGCCCAGAAATTACAATACAACGAAATGTTTTTGTCCTGTAGTCATGGGTCTAAGATAATCAATGCTTTGTTCATTTTCATTGAGTATACATTAATTATCAATTTCTGATACGCCCTCAAATAATGAAGGTCAAACAAAATTTACTTCAGTAGAATAAATATTCTGCAAGACTGTAAAATCTGGCCTATAAACAAATATGATGTACAAGCAGCATTTTTCACCATTCTTCCACATTTCAGGTCAATGTTCTTACTTTTAATTTTCATTACTAATTCCTATATTTCAGGTGCAAACCTGAAATGTCAGATACCTGAGAATTTTCATACTGTGTTCTGGTTTATTATACCATAGAGTCTGGTAACAAAGTATCATTTTGAAGCAAGTCTCCATCTTCAGACTATGCTGGTAATCACCTACCAGACTACATGGTGTCATAACCCATAAGACAACAATACATTAATCTTCACCCCTGTATGAGTGTTGTTCTTTGTCCTCTTCTTGATGGTGCTACGGTCAATAATTTTCATGTTCTGGAGATTATATGTTGCCTGCTGGAGCACCATTACACCACAAACTAAAGCACTAGATCAGTGGTATGAGAACACTGGAATTCATTCCGTAACTGTCCCGCTCATGCTGATGGCTTACTCACTATGTTTCAGATTTATACAACAATTCAACAATAGTATATTTCCAGACAACATGATTGATCTTATAAGTTTCAAGTATTCATACAAATGATGTTTTCTTTCTAGCGGTACACATCAGTACTTCACTGCGACATATTTTCTTGTTTGTGCATTCAAAAAGCTACTGCTAAGAGTAAATAAGAGATATTGGAATAATTTGTTATGCATTAATTTAAATTAAAAAAATTTAGCCAAGACAGGTATTTTGGCGACTTTCACATGAAATTTGAAACATTTTTTTTTTAAATTTAATAAGAGTTATCTGTCAAAAACATGTCCTTCTCACCATTCCATTTAACAATAATAAGTAAGATATATAAGTTTTCAGGTTTCTACAGTGGTGGATATTAACATCGTGGCCTTCTGGATTCTGACGTATAGATTTGTTGAATAAAAACACTTCAGACACACATACTGCTGCCATATTCAGGTCTTAAGCATGTAAATTCAGGAATAGGTTCTTTTACAAGTGTAACTGAAATTAAAGTGGTCATGGGACACAAAGAAAGAAAGTAAGAAGAAAGAAACTTTAGTTAAGCTAACGGGACCAGGTGTACAAAAGGCAACTCTCACTGCTCTGTCACAGGATGGAAACGCAACAGTGCAAAAGCAAGGACTTCCCAGGGATTCAAAACTTCAAAGTAAGCACAAGTACTACTTATCATACCATGACATCTGCTGGAACTGAGAAAAGAATGGCGTACCATTAATGCATATAATTAGCATTCAACCACCCACCCAAACAGAAGCTCTTACAATTAAAGAGTGCAGCTTGTAAGTGATTCTTAAAGAAAAAGAAATGTCGCTGTATTGTCTACATCCAGTATGGGACACAGTCCATTCATGTGAATTCAATTCAAAGAGATATTACCATGAGTACAGTCCTAATGAAACGTACCTACTTTTTGATATTATTAAAACTCCTCACCAGTCCCCAAATTTAAATTAACATGTTTTAAGTAGCCCTCTAACCCATTGAAGCGACTAGTTGCAAGCAGCTAGCCACGTCTGTGGGTTATCAGCCTAATTTGCATTTGAATAATTGGCTGCGACTCGGCAGCTGCGCAGCATGAGTGGGTTATGTGCGACATACACTAATACAACTAACGGACGCGTGCAACAAAGAGGGGCTAGCTGCTTGTGACTAGTCACGTCAGTGGGTTATCAGCCTTACTGTTGGGCGTAATGATGTTAAGTGTATAAAATGTTTTTTTCATTTCAAGACCATATAATTTTGCTGTTGCTATTTTTTTTCTGGGTGGCTACAGTATAAATAAATAACAGACCCTTATGGAAGTCTAGACTTCACAACATATGACTGACCTGTCCTGTTACCTTTTCAGAACCATTTAATCACCACATGACCTTTACAACTTACTTCTTAGTAGCATCCAGCATGTCTGGCAATAGTATGATGTCCCAGATCAAGCTGTCAGGCCATTTTGCAGACCCTCTTGCATGTTAGGATACCTTCCACATTAATTTTACCTGTCCCTTGTAACTGAAGACAGTTCCAATGTCTCATCATCTTGCCACCACACATTATATACAGAATTTAGGTATGTGAATTTCAAGCACAACACAACTGCCAAGTGCAGAAACTTTTACAGAAACTGATACACCCAAGAGCATGTGACATCTATTGGTACTTTAACTACACAGTCAAGATACATTTGAAGGCAACTGCCTACATTTCAAAGTTCTTAGTGAGATTTTTATCTGTACCAGCATGAAGCCTGTTGAAATTTCTATGGCAAATTTATAAAAACAAACGTCTCCAAAACATCTAACGCCAATCACTTGAGAAGTTCTGCACTCATATTTACATTTACACTAAGATATTAAACCTGACAGAATTGTAATATGCACTAAGCAGTGCTGCCATCTATGACAAACTATTTTTTGGAAAAAACTACACCTACTGCTGCCAACTTCTGCTCCTATATGTAACTACAATCAACTCTGGCTATAACACATTACAAGAGAACGGCATGCATCAGCCTTTCTTATGGAAGGATCAGATAAAGTCTACTGAAATGCCAACAGAAAATTATTAAAAGCAAACTTCACCAAAGATACCTAACCCCAGTACCTTGTGAAGTTCTGTAAGACACCAAAACTGACTGAATAACAATATACACTAAATGGTGTTGCATTCTAGAGAATATTTTTTGGCAAAAGTTAGATATAAAAATAAACATAATAAAAATGTCTAACCCCTAACTTTTTCTTTCAACCTGTAACAGATCACCATAATGGCCACCGTCTAGTTCACAACTAAACAACAGCGATACAGTTCTTTGAACTCACAACTTGACCAATTACAGCATTCAGTGGTTTGCTGAGCTGTCCCTCAGATACAAAACGAACACCGATACACACATGGATTTCACAAACAGCTCTTATTTCAACATTACCACTGCACACTTGCATTTCTGCCCATGTACATTTTGCTATCTTCCCTTAATACGCAGATGTACATTATTATGAATATCAAATGCAAGAAATGAAGGGAACCTTTAAAATAAAAAAAAACTCCCGTTGTCTGCTACAGTATCAATGGACAACCCCTCCACTGATCCATTCTTAAAATTCAATCATCCTTTCCTCAACACGCGCGCTACCAGCTATGGAAATCAGTCTTCAGCGAAGGTCAAGGCTGCAGATCTCGCTACCATCTGAGCGTCTTCTATGTAATTACTGACAACTTCTATATCATGACAACGAAGATAGAATATGAAGCCTCATGCGCATGTGTGTGTTGGCTGTAGTGCTCTAGCACCGTAGGGATCAAACCAGACGTTTCCAGGGTTAAACAGGAACTGCCCTGCAGATTCCTTTATACAATAACCCGTGTGTTCCGCCCCAAGGTTCAATCAGCACATCAACTGAATCGCACAAAGTATCCCGTGTAACATATGATGCGTGCATATAGTTCTTCATGTGACTTTAAGCCCTTGTGTTGGTATTTGGTTGGCCCGCTGTTCTGTGTACACCAGCCATTTACATTTGCANTGGCATCATAGGGATTAAACCAGACGTTTCCAGGGTTAAACAGGAACTGCCCTGCAGATTCCTTTATATGGCACCACAGGGATTAAACCAGACGTTTCCAGGGTTAAACAGGAACTGCCCTGCAGATTCCTTTATATGGCATCATAGGGATTANCTATGTAATTACTGACAACTTCTATATCATGACAACGAAGATAGAATATGAAGCCTCATGCGCATGTGTGTGTTGGCTGTAGTGCTCTAGCACCGTAGGGATCAAACCAGACGTTTCCAGGGTTAAACAGGAACTGCCCTGCAGATTCCTTTATACAATAACCCGTGTGTTCCGCCCCAAGGTTCAATCAGCACATCAACTGAATCGCACAAAGTATCCCGTGTAACATATGATGCGTGCATATAGTTCTTCATGTGACTTTAAGCCCTTGTGTTGGTATTTGGTTGGCCCGCTGTTCTGTGTACACCAGCCATTTACATTTGCAATGTATGATTTTCCCAGCTATGTTCACGTCTGTGATTATCTGTATCTGTCCACGATATAAGTTGTGGGATGCACATGGTACTCAGTTCAGGGATTAACATTTTCATGGCCTCTGTTGGTAACAGGCTAGCTTATTTCAAAACGTTCATAAGTCAAGATCTTCAGAATGGATGCCATCTAGCCCGATGAGTCACACTCTTTATTTTAATGCAAGGGATTAACAGTAGCATGCCGCCAACATGAATTTAATAGCCGGATTAAAAAGCCATATAAATGCTACTGCAGAGTTCAAAGAAATATGAAGCACTGAACACACACAAGAACTACTTCATTAAAATACAGTGTGATATATATCTATACACAATGTGAGTTTCTGCTCAAAATATAAATGTACTGCACATGTGTCATGTGCGCACACTCATATGTTCAAAATTTTTAAGTTTCAAACCCAATGACTGCAACAGCTTCCTTAAAGGAAGATTAGGATACATTAGTACGTGGTTCTAAAGACAATTTCATAATCGCAGTTACCTTGCTGAACTTGAGGCGAAGGGTGAACAGAGAGAGGACGGCTGTGGTTCATTCAGCAGTACACATGCACAGTAACTTACTATCTTCATGATATACTTCAGTTTGTCACTCTGAACTTGATCTTCAGTATAAATCGTATAAAATCATGCAGTAGGCATGACAATACATACTTTAATCTTCATGTAACTTTACACATTAATCTTTACCAGGCAGGAATGTTCTGAACAGACGTGTGACGCTACATACCTGTGTCTCAGATACAGTCTGGCCACAAGAGAAAGACAATTTTGGCAAGTTCAAACTCTCGATATTCACATTATTCCTCTCCAAGAGTCTGAGCAACAGTTTCTGTATCTCTTCCCGTTTCCTGCTCACCACATCTTCCGAAAACCACTCGACGAGATTCTTCATCGGCAAGTAGTAATCCTTAATGGGATCCTAAAAACAAAGATCAGCCTTTACAAATCTGAATTGGAGGTTCAAAACAAGGACTACTACTTCTGCTCTGTACGCTGACATCCTAGTGCTGCCTAAACTTTTTTCTTTAATTTCTTTTAATTCGCTTTGTGGGGGGGGTGAAGTCCAGCTCGGTCCACTCAGCACAGCAGCCACAGATTGGCCTATAGTACCTGCCCCGGGTGATTATGATGATGGAGTATTTGGTGGAATGAAGATTAGCAGGGGAAACCGAAGTATTCGGAGAAAACCCACCCCAGCACCACTTTGTCCACCACAAATCCCACTTGACCAGAACCAGGATCGAACCCAGGCTGCCGCAGTGGGAAGCAAGTGACTAATCACTTGAGCTATGGCGTGGCCCCACCCCCTAAACTTACTCTCACTGAGAAAACTTGAGGTCTGAGTTGACGTTCTCACTGTAGTGGTCGAAGATTACGGTCTTCTGGGATCTGACACCATGTAGTCTGGTAGATATTTATCATTGACTCAAGAACATAAAGATGGAGGTAGCATGTTCCTCCAAAATATTGGCAAATATCTACTGGACTACATAGCATCACCTCCTAGAAAACAGTAACCTTGGAAAGTTAAGCTGCTTTTTATAAATACCATCAGAAAAGTGCAGCACTTAAAAAATTGAAAATTATGGAAAATGAGAAGAAAGAGAAATTCTGTGATTTTATTCATTAACTTGCTTTCTCTTTGGGGGGATTTCTGCACAAACCTTTAGTACACTGTACATGCAAATTTATAATACAACATGCAGCAATTAGTCTTCTGGGATGAGATGAAGTATAGTTCATTAGGTTGGTACCAGCATTTCAGGGGAACCTGTTCCCTCTATCTTCAGGATACACATGGGTCCTACAGTGCCACACTTCACATTCATCGATGTGAAAACCCCATACTATATACGCGCGTGTGTGTGTATATATATATATATATATATACACACACACACACGTGTATCAATAAATAAAATCTGTCAAAACAGAGCATAGCAATAACACATGCTCAAGGTACTTTTAATTTCCATGTGTGTGTGTATATATATGTTGTGCTGTGACCACAGCCTCCTCACTTATCACTGAAAGCTATTTTCTTTCGAAGAAATAAAACAGCATGGCTAGAATAAAGTCTACCCTTTGCCTGGGATACACTTGCTGTCCCTGTGTATATCGCAATATACAATGACTAAAACTTGAAGGATGTATGACGCTCAAATTAAGAAATTATTTGAACCAGATCCAAAAGCTCTCAGCACGACGCCCACCTTTGTTTGTAAAAGCTGCAGCTTCCACTCATATCGATAAGATTATCAGTAAATTTTGAATCTTTTTCTATTCTCTATCAGGTTCACAGTATGAAGCATGAAAATTTATTTCTATATACGCCAGAAAGACAGCCAATAAATACAAAACTTGTGTAACATTACCTGAAAGAAACTTTCCACATACTGCAAAACATAGACCCCGCAATCTGTGAAATTGGTCTGCTGGGGCACCCTGGGAGTGCTGCCTTTTATAGTATCTTTATTGAATTCTCTGTCCTTTCCTTCTTTCACTTTGTATTCAATGCGCAAGTAGTCCCGCAAGGTGGCCACCACACGAGACCTACTCGCCCCTGCCAGTGAGTCAAAGATCAGAATGCAAGGCCTGAAATGAAAGGGACAAAAATATATATAGCACTCAAGTGACAAGACCATTTCATGCTGCTCATATTCTTAAATGAGACAAATTTAAGAGGCTTAAACAACTTATCATTTCTTACGCGTAAACGTTTTAGCAGCTGTCTTAAGTTCTCATATGGTATCTGAACCTACAAATTATTTCACTGATAACTCGCAAGTAACCTCTGTCTAGAACATCTCTGAGGGTGTCCCACCATTAGACGGTGATGTAACTTGCTATGTCACCACAAGTGAGTTGGCAGGTTGTTTTCTACATACAATGGGAACCAAAATCATCAAGTTCGATATCTTGAACATGCAGCCTCTTCTGCTGTAAGGTTGCCTACTCAAGGCTTCACACCCTCGAAGATATTTCAGACAGACAACAGGACCAGACTTTGTCCCCAAACTTATTTTGCACCCAAATAAGAGCTGCTATCAGAAAGTTCCTGGACTAGATCAAAAAAGAAATGCTGGCTTAACTTACTCAATTTTGGCTTACATCTCCCTCACAATAGCCTCCTTGGGAACATATACAGTGATCCCATTATTTTTTCCACGCTTCAGAAGCAACGTGGAAGTCATTCTCTTTGCATGTCAGACGCTCTTTCAAAACATCGTCCCTTCAGTTGGGGAAACAAAGCGAAATCACAGGTCTCAAAATGTCTTAGTATGAGCAAAAGTCAGAGTTGACTGCATTGTTAGGAGGAACAAATTCACGGTGAACAATCCCCCTTCATGTCGAACAGAACAATGAGCACGCTCTTTGTTGAACTCCAGACCTGCTGCACCTTTTTTGCTCTTGGTGATTTTGGACTCTTCCATTGCAACGATTGCTGCTTTGTTTCTGGATCATGACTGTAAATCCAACTTTCATCATCTGTTNTTATTTTGCACCCAAATAAGAGCTGCTATCAGAAAGTTCCTGGACTAGATCAAAAAAGAAATGCTGGCTTAACTTACTCAATTTTGGCTTACATCTCCCTCACAATAGCCTCCTTGGGAACATATACAGTGATCCCATTATTTTTTCCACGCTTCAGAAGCAACGTGGAAGTCATTCTCTTTGCATGTCAGACGCTCTTTCAAAACATCGTCCCTTCAGTTGGGGAAACAAAGCGAAATCACAGGTCTCAAAATGTCTTAGTATGAGCAAAAGTCAGAGTTGACTGCATTGTTAGGAGGAACAAATTCACGGTGAACAATCCCCCTTCATGTCGAACAGAACAATGAGCACGCTCTTTGTTGAACTCCAGACTTGCTGCACCTTTTTTGCTCTTGGTGATTTTGGACTCTTCCACTGCAACGAATGCTCCTTTGTTTCTGGATCATGACTGTAAATCCAACTTTCATCATCTGTTATGATCCTAGAGATAAAAGTCAGGTCCTCTTTACCCTCCTCTTGTAGCTCAACACACATGTTTACCCACTGCTGCTTTTGATCATTTGTCAATATTTGGGAAACAAACTTTGTGGTAATGCAGCGCACGTTCAGATTTTCTGTAAGATCTCCTGGCAAACTCAACAACTGATCCCAACGGTGTCAGTGAACTCATGGATTGTATGGTGATGGTCTTCATGGAAGAGTTCTAAAAATTTTTCAACATTTTCTGTCATTTTGCTGGTGCCTGGTCACCCTGAATATTCATCATCCTCAACTGACATTCAACCAGCCTTGACAGGTGAATGCTATTCAAAAACCATTGTCCAGCATAAAGAATGTTCTCCAAAAGCCTCATGAACCATTTCAAGGGTTTCAGTAGTGGATTTACTGAGCTTTATGCAGATATATTGCTCAATTTTGCCATTCATCGCAGACAAAATGAAACACAAAGTTGAAAAAGCACTCATGTAAAAACAATGCATGTTTACGGTGCGGTGTCATGTGGCAGACTGATGCAATAGGCTTGTGGAAGCATCACCTCTCACATCTTTGACCAAGGAAGTTACAACAATAACAGTCCTGAAACTTTCCGATACACCCTGTATATAATGTAACGTGTTTTGCGTTACCGAAGACGCCGTAGAGATGTTTAATTGGTTTATTTAACGATCTACAACTAACGGCTACAATTAATTANATAATGTTATATAGAGGACTGTCATACTAATCAAACTGGTTATTCGACTATACTGAGGCCGCTGAAAGAAGTAACATGGATTGATACCCTCCACACCCCCAATGAATCATGATACTTCCCCCTCCATTCTACTGACCCAAATTCCCCTCCAGCCATTCTGTTCACACAAAATGTTGCGACTTATCATTTTTAGCAGCAATAAGTGTTTTGGGTTGGTTGATACAGACCAAAGTGAACTGGAGTGGGAGAGACGTGAGGACATACAACCCCAATATCCAGACAAACGACCATTCCCAGAATATGACTATCATAAATGAGAGAGAGAAAGACTTACTGCTTGATAGGTTCTCGCGGTGGCTTTGACCCCCTCCCCCTCGGTGCAGGGACTGGTTTCACTGGTGTCGCGGGTATTTCCTCAAAGGCAGGGTCAGAAAACAACTGATGTTTCTCAGCAGGTGGAGTTTCAGGCTGACTGGCTGACACATTATCCTGCAAATCAATTCAAATGTTTAAATTTCTTCACACTGCTTGATTACGATATAATGCGGTCCAGTAGATGGGCACTAAGATTTAATAGGAAAGAGTACATCCATCAGAAGATGACCTTCACTGCAATAAAAAACTCAGATCTTACCTAAAACTGTTCATTAAACATATGAAAAGTAGGCAAGCTGACGAGTAGAATAAAAAGCATGCGGACGAAGAGGAGGAAAGGAAATCTGAATAAGTTTAGATTATTTAACTATGCTGCTCTAACTGCAGAAATTAACAGCGGCAAATAAGAAAAGGATAACATAATGGACAGTGGGCAGGTAATCTGTGTTTAAACATCTCTGAGGGCACATCACCATCAGTGACATGTACCACTGTCATCTTCATGACGTTACTAGATTCTATTTCCCACATAGGCTGGGAACCCAAGTACCCACACCCGAGATCTCACTCAGTCGCAGTCTCCTGTGCATGTATCCCAGCACTTATGATGCACGCAAATGTTAAATATGTACAGTTGCCAATTAAACTGTGATTTCTCTCAAGTGCCTCCCGATACAAGTCTCAGACATTACTGACCAAAACTGACTGCCTAGGAAATGCACAAGAAAACAAAATTCTACATGATCAACAGCAGTGAATTAGAGTCATGGACAAAAATGAGGAACAGACCACAAAACAATGTATCTAAAGTTTAAATCGAAGGTGAAACATGATAATTATAAAGGGAAGGAAATCCAAGCAACGGGCATGAAATTTATGAGACGCACCAAGGGACAGCAGTAACATACTGAGAAAAAAATTTTTAGAGAGGAAGTTGTTCAGAATTTATTAAGAACAAGGATACCATGAAAGCCTCAGTCGCGTACTGGAAGGCTGCAAAAGAGGAAAGATGATGGTAAGAAAGTGAAAAGACTGTCGGAAGATAGAAAAGACTGGAGACATTTTGTCCATCAACAGAAATAATTCTAGTAGTAGTGAAAGGATTATCCCCCCCCCAAATATTATCCTGCAATCCATTTAATATAATTACTTCTTCTTCGCTGGTTCCCTGCTCCATCTCGTCATCGTCTGCTTCTGCTTCATCCCTGTCTGAACCTTCTTCTCCGCAGGTGTCCAGTGTTATTGTCGCTGTTGGCTTAACAGGCGTGATTGTGGTGGACCCAATCTGCAGTGTGGTGCCCTTCACACACTCCTCAACAGCCGCTGTACACAAATCACACGATCAAACACTGCATAAAATACAGGAAAAATGCACTGGGGATTTCATACATATTTAACATTTTTCACATACTGCCTGGCTTATATACAAGGTGTCTCGAGATGAGCCCCACATAATCAGAAAAATTAAAGAGTATTCCCACTCATCCTGAAATCCTCCCATATTTTGTGGAAAACACTGTGTGGTCCTAGCCAAAGATCCATACAAAAATATACTGCATACCCATATTTGATAATTTTGATTTTGTGCAATGAATTCTGAAACAGTAAAAAATGCAGACTATGAAATCAGTGACAAAAGTGGCTCGGTTAATTGAAGATTAGGATAATTGGATGCAATTCTTATCCACACACACACACACACACAGAAACTTACAAAACAGGAGAAATAAAAAAATTAATGTAATTATAAATTAACATTTTCAAACACTTTATTTGAAATAGTCCAACAGCAATTGTTTAGCCAACACATTCCTTGGTTGCAGCGATTCAGTCAATTGACAATTCGGATAATCGGCATTCTACTGTACTTAAATTTACTGCAACTGTGGTTGAAACTATGATCAAAATTAATCTTTTCTCTCCACCAGCAACTGCTCCCTCATAACCATTCCGTTTACTTCATACATTTTAGAAACTAATTTTATGTTACTGGATCAACTGCATTTATTCGTGTAGAAACAGTTAATCAGCAGTTAAACCAACTGATTAAAGACATGCATATTCCTTCTGAAATTTACCTGCATTCTTTTTTTGAACCACCTTCTTGGTTTTAGTGACAGGTGGCACAACAATGGGTGTATCATCAGAAAACCGCACACTCCCTTTCAGGCCAGGGAAACATATGATTGCGAGGAACCAATGGCAGCTTGAACAAGAAAATTAACACTTCTGTAACACTTCACAGATTCAAGTACTGAAGCATCATACGAACAGCCACTCAATTTTAGGAAAATGCAACCTCCAGATACATGACAGCTCACTTGTTGCAGTCCAGATGGCCCAGTTTTATTTCCGCAGGAGCAAAAATCCTTCTTTACCATCTGACACACCCCTAGCCCATTATTCAGTGGTATCACGTTCTTCCCCAGGGGCAGAGAGACCAGTACGTGAAGCTGGTCATTCCCCTCTTTATCAGCATATCTTTCCATCTATAACCAGGCATTCCAAAGTGGTCTTTTTCTTTCAGGCTTACCTACTAAAATTAAGTATTCAATTCTCATCTGTGTATTACATGCTTGGATATATCACACTGCAGTCATAAAGAACAAACCAATCTACCTTTGGCAAGCAATGTTACAAGCATATCATTAGTTTACATACAGACTGCAGGCTGTTATAAACAGTTTGCAGGTACTATCTGCTTACACCTCCAGGGCAGCACAGTCCACTGCGTAGCAAAAATGGTTTGGATACGGGGGGGGGGAGTAGAAACAGCAGGGTAAGGAATACTGGCCCTTACATGTGACACTGTTTCTCCTTAATCCTATCAGTTCACCCAGTGCCCAAGTCCTCCCTCTCCCAATATATGCGACATTTTCATCCACACATGCATGCTTGCTTGTCTATTCTGAAAATGGAGGTATTACACTCCTCTACAATGTTGCCAGATTTATACGAGACTACACTGTGGTCAGATCTCAGGAAACAGTAATCATCACTCACCACTGTGGGAACTTAACATCTCGCATAATGCATAAAGGAGTTACTTACTGTTCATTTATGGGTATTATAATGAAGTCCTTCTGAAAGATATTAATATTCTTTGTCCAACTCTTAACTCTACTGTGTCTTTTCTCTGCTGGTGATAACTTCGGGTCATCTTCGACAGGATGTGATCTCCTGAGTGATTTTGCGGGGCGAGTTGTCAGTCGTTTATAGAAAAATGAACTAAAAACGTGGGTACGAGACTGATCTTCTTCACTCAGCACTGAAAGGGTCAGGTACCTTAAAAAAATTAATTACAGTTATAACACTTCCGACAGAACACGTCCATTCACAGAACTGTTTTCAACACACCTGATACTGATTTTATGCGCAGAAATCTTCTTCTCTGCATTAACATATAATCTCAACTGTCGTAAAGCCACAAACAAGTAAGTTCAAATGCACAGAAATATATTTCTATGTGATAAACATGCATTATTCATATACAAGGCACTCCACTAGGGGGGTGAGCTAAACAGTCAATACAAAAGCTATATAGTATTAAAAATGTCTTGATTTCTTTTGCATTAGCTCATGATCAGATGATAATTAAAATACTCACTTTAAATAAAAGTCTATAATGACATCATTAAGGAATTGGTCTTCACCTAGGCAGGCGTAGTCTTCAGTATTTATAGGAATTCCTCCCTTGCAAGGTGGCGGTGGATAAACCAGGATTCTAAACATATACAACAAACAGGGCAGAGTAAGATTCATATCTGTGACAAGAGACTGAACTGCAGAGATACAATGTTCCACGCACTGATCACACATGTTCTCTTCAATACTTCCAAACTGAACCATTAAGTAAAAAGTACATCTCATGTAATCTCGAAGAGGAAATGTGCATACGTGACAGCATAAAACCTGATTCCTTTATATTAATCATGACATACTGCTTCCTCCTGAGGGATCAATAAATATGGATGAAACCTGCCAGACAGGTTGCACATGATCAACTGTTTAAGCAACATGCAGTACAATGTGTGGCGCCAACACAAGAAATGCAAGAAAACAAAAGCTTTGCATGAACTGCCTATGTACAAAATGAGGAACTGCCTGAAATGCATGTTAATGCAAGTGACACATACAAGCATTATGGGCATTTTCCACTGTCTTGTTTCAATTAAATAAACACTTTTCAGAAGATTGCTCTGCTTCCATCATCAGGTGAAAGTAAGAAACCTACTCTCTTGGGTTCATCACATGAAGATGATCTCCATTTCTGGACCCAGTTCCATCGAGTGGATCCAAAAACGTATCTTTCACACTTATCTGATGACTGAACAGAGCCAATTTTGGAAAAGTCACGTTCTGTTAACCAGAAATAATATATAGAAAATATCCAACATGTGTGCCAGTTGAATAATATGCCTTCCTCGCAAAACCTTCAGACTTACAAATTTTCATCTCTAAGTTATATCCTATTTCTATGCAATTTCCAAGAAACTTACGTCTGAATTTCATCCTTGGATTTCAACGGAGACATACCAATTGCTTTTTTCATCATATTCTGGACCTGAAAAATATTAATATCAGTTTAAATACTTTCATAAAACATAGTTACAGAAAAAACAGCTCTCACCTGCTCCATGGGTTTCAACCACTGTGACACAGTGACCCTTTTCCACTGTTAACCACACACGACATTAGGCTGAAAATCACTCACCTCTTTAGGTGAGGCCCTGACCAGAATATCATTCGCTTCCTTGTTGCTGAGTTCTTCCAAAACATTTGACAAAGGGCCAAAAATATTCTTTAATGCTACTTTACTGTCTTCATGTAACCTCTCTGGAAGCAATGTTATTCTTCGCTGAGTCTCATCTGAAACACAATCAGTGCAAGTTCCTAGGCTACATGTTCTGCTGAAATTTTAAATATTTAAGATTCAATATCATCAACTTTATTTTATTTATGGTTTATTTAATGATGCCTGAGGTCTGAGGAAAACCATAAAAAAATCCTCATTCATGACAGTTGGTCTTGGGGCCAAAATCTGAAACCAGGATCTCCTGAATATAAAGTACAAATGGCAACCACACGGCTGTGATATCAGACAGTGTTACCAATTCTGCATGAAAACCCTGAGAAGTTAAAATGCATCTTACTTTTCTACCCATGCATGTGGACATGCAGTGGTGTCAATGTTACCTGGACTGGTTGGGTCATAGTAAGGGCCCAGCTTGGATTCCATACTTAAAGCTGCCCTTACTCTTGCTGCGGCTGTGGGGACAGTGTACAGAAACAAGACAGGCATTCCTCGCCCGAAGTGGATTAGGACCTTTACAATTTCCCCGATGTCCACTGATAGTGTCACGCATTTTGAATCTTTCATGAAAAGAAACATGACATATATTACACATGTGGAGACCTAAACCTTTGCCACGGGACTGTAAATGGAAACATGGAGCTTCTGGGTTAAGATGTTCAAACTATATCTACACCACTAGGCTACAAATATTTATTGCTCTCATAATATACAAAGCATACAACAATACACCGTCTACACAACACCACTCTGTATTTAAAACAAAGAAGATAGTACTGTATCAACATTTGTTCTATTAATGCTTTTATGGAAGCGTCCATAATGTAGATGGTATATTGTTGTATGCTTACATCTTACCAAGTGACTTATTACACGGTTAAATCTGATACTATTTACTTTACCCAAAGTTTGTAGTTTTAAGGTAACTACATCATTCTTCAGTTTTCAAGCGAGTAGGCAGGTGGCAGTGAAAAGAAAACCTTTAGAAAAAGACGTTCTGGGTACAAGAATGTACAGCTTCGGCCCACTGATGTTCCTACAAATGCTGACTACTAAACGATACATCAAAGAATGTGTACTGTATTCACATTGCAATCGTGGCATGACAGTACACTGGCACATGCTGACAGAAGGCTTCCTGCAGCAGACATGCATGGGAAGTGTATACCACCATATGTCTTGCAGAGGACAGGAAAGGGTGAAAAGTTAATATAAATACAGCGTGGATGTTAATTCCATTCCTGGGTTGCTACTCCTGTTATTCCAGAGTTATGTGCTGCCTCCAGCTTCAGGAACAAAGCATGTGAGCAGATGGTCCTACATAAAGGCGGTAGGTAGGTTGGGGTCTGTCATGTGGGAGGATACACATGCAAGAATGGGATTAACATCAACAATTGGTCCCTGCTAAAGCCTAAAATCAGTGACATAAATATAGTTCTCATACACTCACCATCTTCAATGGCTGGGACCGCTATTCTGATGCCAACAGAAGAAAGTAGCACACGATCCTTAGGAACCACTTTGTAAGACCCTATTCTAACTGTCCGGCACTGCAATAGGGTAAAACAACCAGGAATTGAACCATCCACGATGCCGTCCATGTCCAGCTCTCTTCCTCCACCTGCAAATTTTTTAACTACAGAATGTGTCTTGGAAACAATGAACAGATGCCACTGAATTGACAAAAGGAAGCCGCAATGCGATCAGCATGTTCTGATACCTTGGACATTATCCATCCTCTAAATCATGACATTATCAGCTTATGCAAAAAGGCGGAACTTAATTTTATGGGTTCACTGCTACAGTCTGCAACAGACCCATCAGAATATGTCTCCCATTCCGACTGACACTACAAGCTGAGTATGTCCCAAAATGTTACGCTTTTAGTATGACGGATAATGTTGAGGGCACTATGTCATGTCATCAACAACCGACAAAACAAACTGTGTGTTGGGAAACCAGAAATGACAGCACTCCTATAAACTACTCAGGTCCAATTAGCGAATATGTCGGGTCCTGCATGCATCACTGCATGACTAAGAACACTCCTCTGTCATTGGACGATGAGAGTACAGCCAACTCTCAAAACAGCGCACATACTGGGCGCACCTTGGGTCATGTCCAACACAATACTAACACACAAATCAATTTTAAATTCCACTTAAATGCTGGCATCTACCTGCAATCCAGAATGCTGTATAAAGGTGCGTCTGTGCTGAGACACGCCCATCTTAAGTGAGGCAGTGACAATAATTGAAAGAACGGAGACATACATAAAATAATAACAATCACATTAAGATGTAAGGTAACGAAACACTGGATAATGTTCAATGTAAGTATGTCAGGACAATTATCCATCAAACTCCCAGTTTTCTGCTTATAACGAGAAGCATGACGTCTTCCTGCTAAAACGTCCTCTCTGTTTATGCTTCTTACGATTATGATCTTCGGTGTGACACTGTGTAGCCTGGTAGATACATACTAAAGTTCCAGAGGAGCTTACGGCTTCCATCTCCATGAACGATATGGATGCATCTGGTCCCCCTGAAATGGCAGTACCCACTTACAAAACTACACGGTGTAACATCATAGAACAAAATAATGTAATACTGCTCTGACAATGTGAAACCTCATAAATGTGAAAGAGAATTTAGACTCACTACTCTGTCTCCCCCCACTACTAACTACTCCTTACACATTTCCCCTTTATTTCCTTATTTTGTTTTCTTATCTCTGCCTCTGTTCCCCACTTTCCTTTCTCCTATGTTTTTTCATGTCATCTATCCTTAAAAAAAACAGCTCTTTTATGGGCAAGTGGTGCCTACTGGCTTGCTCATAACAGCAGTCCTAATCCTCCTGTCAATATACCCATACCTTTTCTCCCTGCAGAGCTTACCCGTCTACCCAGAAGATGGAAGCGCTAGGCCCCCCAAAACGGCACAGTGTTACAACTCACTGTCATGAGAACCTCAAATCCCACCCTTTACCGTGGACCTTCAGGAAAGCACTGACGACAAATCCAAGATGCTCAGTTGGATTTACTGAGACTGCAGCATAAAACAAAATGTGATAAAATTATAGCACACAACATTCACTGATCTGGCTCAGGATAGGGATCGGTGGAGGGCTCTTGTGAACATCACAGTGAACCTTCGGGTTCCATAAATTTTGGGAAATTCTTGAGTAGCTGCACAACTGGCGGCTTCTCAATAAGGGCTCAGCTCCCTGAGTTAGTGAATAAGCATTCCACTATTAAATTAAAGACTGGCTTTCATAGTACCCCAAGTTCAACCTGTAGCAATGTACGGATGGAGATGTCAGAAACGGTAGCTTCAACTAATACTTAACATTTATTAAATTTTGGTAAACGTGAACAGAAAAAATATAGGCACAGTCTTCTGGTGCCTATGGGAACTTTTTGAACACACCAACCTCTGACACCTTGAGTATGTTGATTCTCTCCTGTATCTGAACCCGTGTCGTCTTCCTCGGGGATAATGGGCTCTTTACCCCTAGCTGATGAAGTCACCTCTGGATCGGGGGAAGTATACGGGATGTCATCTGTGGATAATCGCTGACCATTATTCAGGGCCCTCTCAGCAGTCACTGCTGAATCTAAATCGGACTGGGCACTCTCTTCGTCGTCCGAAGACAAAGTCAAACAAACTGGAAAGAATGCCAAAACCAAAGCAGTTGGATAAGTCAAGATATCCACAGCCGTGTCTCACACAGGAGTTGTAACAGTAAAATTCATAAAGATCCTAAAAGATATGGAGATCTTCCTTCACCCTGTGGTTCCATCTATGTCTATGTATACCGACTTCTCTCTTTCCTTCACATTTCCATACCATGCACTTCTTCCTTGTGTCACGTGTGCGTACATACCCAGTGACCTGATAAACCTACTGTTTGCCAAAAAGCACAATCACGAAGCTCTTAGTTATGTTCGAAGACCAAAATAAACACTTCATGAACATTTTTGGCGTGGCTTATTTCATGATTTTGTCAATATCTACATTATATAGCATCCAATGGTTCGGTGATTAGCAAATAATGAATTGGAAAGGATCTGGAATGCGGCAACTATGGCCTAACAGGGACACTATCCTACAATTTGTGTGTGGGGGGAAGGGGGGCCTAAGGAAAACCACAAAATCTTTAGTCAGGATAGTCAGTATTCCAGATTATTTTTGGTCATAGCCTGGAATTTCTCTGGAGGGACTCAGGAAAACCACAACAAACTCCAATCAGGGTAGTCAGTGTCCCAGCTAATTTTGGGTACTAGCCTGGAAGAGTCTGAAACAGCACATTTTCAGAAAGAAAATTATATTGGCACTTCAAAATTACAAAACTCACAAAGAACATAGTTAAACACAAAATGTTCCGCGTCACTTACCGGGTTCCTCAACCAGTTTGCTCTTTGTTCTTCTACCTGTACGGCCTCTCACTCTGCCTTTTGGCACCTCCACACTACTCTCACCTTTTACAGGCGTCTTAGAGAAAAATTTCTGTAAGTATACAAGTAAGACCACATAGTTACGCACCTAAATCAAATTTATCATTCAAATCTGTGGTAAAAATATAGACGAGTCTGGTGGGCCACTGCAAAGACATTTATTTCAGGGTAACGGCTCAGTTTGTAAGCTTATGTATGTATATGGAAATATATGAGAGTTGACACTGACAATCACAACAATGTTACTTTTGTTACTTCTACGTGGATCAAATTATATGTAAGAATCAGTGTTCAATCTAACCCTGCTTTATTAAGACTAACTTTGATACACAAAGGCGTTTTATATATATTCACACACATTACCATGGTAACACACAATAGAGATATTCTGTTTTTACACACACATAACCATAGCAACACATAACAATACAGAAATTAGGAACAGGGCATGTAACGGTCTATTATTGAAAATTATTTACTACGATGTTGCCAACTCTTGCATTATATTTTAACATTAGAGAGTTGCCAACATAACAAACAATTACTCACTGAAATTTTCAGCAATCTTTAATTTAGTGATAATGATAAAGAGTAACAACTGATGGCAGTTCTAAACCACTGCTACAAATCTCTTAGAATGGCTCCTGATTACTGGTCATCAATGGAGTAAGGAATTATACCTCAGGTGTGGTGCCTTCTTTCACAAGTTTTTTCTTCAGCCCGTCTTGAACTGGTATTGATTTGCAGTTTTCTGGTAATCTCCTTCTACAACGCTGGCAGCGAAAGAAATCTAATGATGTGTATCCGCAGAAATGACAAACTGCCAGTTTCCCAGGCACTAACTTCGGTTCCTGTCAACAGAAAAAATATGAATTTAAGATAATTTATGATTCCTGAAATAACGCTTCAAAATTTCACACTAACACACAGAGGATGTTACTCTAAAATATTTTCTCAAAATCTCATTTTTTGTAGATATTTATCTTATGTTCAACTACTGACACTTTAAACCTTACATATTGAGCACCTGTTAATTATTTTCATTTGTACTCAAAATCACTCAATTAATATATCCAAAACTTTTGCAGACTTCTCCTAAATATGCAATATGAGAATGTGTTTATTTCTGTTTTAACAAAGTACATATAGTCTACATAACCAAAATCAACCACAGTTGGGGCAAGAAAAAATATACAACCTTAACATAAGTTTTGAGTATGCTGTAACTGCCTGTTACAAATTTAAAATGATTAACTGTGAATAACCTTAAATGTATATAACTACTTGCAGATTAGTGGGTGACTCCAAGTAACTTTAGAAGTTACTGCTACACTGCCTGGCACATTATTACTGCTGCAAATCTTGGGAGTTTGTTTGTAAAAACAAGACCTCAAGCCTAACCTCCCATTAAGTCACCAGTTAAGTCCACAAGGTTCTGGTTTTGGTTTTACAAGCACACTTCAAAAACTGTCAGTGCTATGATGGACAACATGGAGGTCAATTTTAAAGTTATTTGGGTCACCAGTTAACTACCCATGCATTTTACAAGTTAAATTATTGTAATGGGTCCAGCCCACTGCTAGAGTTTTAAATTAAACTACCATAAGACAGCTAACGTATGTCCATCCATACCATAATTTGTCGCATATCTATATATCTCACAGCCAATATTACAACGAATTACAAAAGTACTGTGATTTGTGAGCACAAAACCTTTTCATATGCAATTTCCTAATTCTCAACAGTCCAGCCCCATAACCAATCATGGAATCAAGCAATCAAAACACTACAATAACCTCTTATAATAAAAAGACTGTTAATTTTACCTTCTTCCTCCTATAGGCAGAATCTAAAAAATCCATTCTCTTCTTTGATCATTTTTCAGTGTTTTCTCTAAATGTTCTATCAAATCTGCACATTCTCGTGGCCATAGATAGGCTCTTACGAGATCATACTGCATACTGAAACACATTTATGGCTATTTCAAGCTATGTGCAAGATCAAAAACTGGGTGGTTTTAGCAGCAGTCACATGGATTAGAGATGAATGTTTCACAGGTTTTTGATGAAAAGTTGCGGTGTGGCTACTAACTTGGGCAATGACTTTTGAATAAATCTAAACGCCACACCCTTTTAAAAACTTTGTAGTAATACATATGCATAATATACAGAATGGGAACTCAACAAAAGAAAAAAGATACATTATGCTCTTGCCATATATACCTAGGTCGATTTCATAAAATTAAAAATTAACTCACGTATCTGTTGGTTTTACGAACCAAAGCTACAAAACATACATTATCTTCTGTAAATAACGATTGGTAATGCCATACCGTAGCTTGGTTATATCCATAATTTTCGATAAATCGAATGTAGCCTAAACAAAATTTACACAAATTGGTAAATAATTTCCAAAATATTACACTACACTGAGACATAACACCATTTCTCTCTCCAAAATTCTACTTAGATACAGAATTTGTAAACGGAACTTTTGCACAACGTAACTCAACTAGGTTCTGCCCAGCCATCGGCTTCAATGTCAACGTACGTTTCGGGAAGCACGTTCAGCAATAACGCTACACACAATTCCTTTACGACCAGTTATGTGGATACTTACATCTTTAATAACGGGTTTAATATCTGCGGGTTCCTCTGTTTTAGTAACTCTGTAAATAAATGAAGAAAAGTATGTCAAGCTATATACTATTAACAGCAAATATAAACCACCATATTACCTATCGTTAACTCCGAAAAATTACATGCATGCCAACATGGCCGAAGCAAAATGCGCACCAAATATGAAAATCTCATGCAGATGATGGGTAAGTTGAATACTTTGATTTACTTAAATTCCAGTACTAATTACCCTGGTCTTCCTTGAGCAACTACAGAACTGTCCCAGATGGTTCCTGATTTTACAAAATCTTTAGATTCATTGTCATACCGATAAAAGTTCTGCAACAGTTGATGGTACAAAATAATTTAACAATTTTTATTTTATGCATCCTGTTGTGTATACATGATATTATGGTTTTCTAGTACTATCACACAACAAAGTTTTGATTACTGTACGTAGTATAATAAAACAACTAATATTATGTGAAACAAATAAGTCAGTTAATTACTTTAATCACACTTTGACACTGTGGTGGATATTAATACTAGCTAGCAAAACTATTAGCAAATACGAACATTTCAGCCAAAGAAAGTCTAGGTTATTATAAATTGAACAAGTATAACCCATGGTTCAATGAAGGATGCTCAAAATTATTACATCAAAGGAAAAAAGCCAAACTGCAGTAGTTACTGGAGCCAAGCGAAATAAATGGAGATACTCTGAATATAAGATGTGAAGCCAGCTGGTATTTCAGGCATAAAAAGAGGGAATGTCTGAAAGACAAAATTAATGTGCTTGCAACAAACAATGAGAACAAGAACATTAGAGATATGTATAGAGGAATAAATAAATTTAAAAGGGGTTACCAACATAGAAGTAACTCACTGAAGGATGAGAATGGTGATCTGCTTGCAGAATAATTAGAATAATCAAGTCAGAGAGCATGAGACGAGCAGGGCATGTAGCATGCATGGGGAGAAGAGGAAGGCATGTAGGGTTCTGGTGGGAAAGAGTGCACTAGGAAAACCAAGATGTAGGTGGGTGGATAATATTAAAATGGATCTTAGAGAGTTAGGATTGGATGGTGTAGACTGTATTGATCTGGCTCAGGATAAGGACCAGTGGCAAGCTACTGTGAAGATGGTAATGGACCTTCAGGTTCCATAAAATGCTGGAAGTTCTTGAGTGGCTGCACAACTGGCAGCTTCTGAAGGGCTCAGCTCCAGGAAGTTAGTTAGTTAAATGTTTCATTCTGTTCTGGCCATCATCAGTTGTGTAAGAATAAAAACACTAAATACAGAACATTTATGCTGAATTGTATCCGGCGTCATAAAGCTAAAAGTTGTGTATATGTTAGTAAGTAAAGCAAGTAAAGTCAAGGTATCCCTGTAACAGGCCGTGGAGGCCCATAGGGTTGTGAGACGTTGAGGCTCCCACATTTTCTCTAGACAGTCGGCTCATAGACGGCGGTAAGGTTGTCAACTTTAAGCGCCCACCACCCTTTACCCTCAAGAACATTCCAAGAATATTCCTGGTATGCATTTCTGTTAAGAGACTGAGTCGACCCCAGGGCCATAGTGCAGCTGGAAAAATTAGGTAAATTGAAAAAAAAAAAAACCCCAATGCCCCCATCAGGATCTGATCCTGCAACCTTCCAGCTTGTAGCATAGTGCCTCAACCAACTACGCTACCAGTGTTAGTATATTAAACAAAATAGCCTTGAAGGTGGTCATAGTGTACTATGCTGTGTTTTTCCCCCTTTTTGGGGGAATGTGATTTTAAATTTTAGTTTAAATAAAGTGCACAGTTGCTATAATTGCTACGCTGTTGGCATACCTGTGTATCTTTGTGTCCTTCTGATTTCTTGATATTGGTAATCTTCATGGGTCAAGTTTAATTTGTTACGTATACTAATGTAGATCTGTAATTTAATACTTAGATTTTGTGGTCTACTGTGCTGTGTGGTTGGGCAATCTGAAAATATTGCTGTGAAGTAATATTCACTCACGCTGCAGATTTTTCTGTGAACTGGATTAATACCGCATTTCACTGCACATAGCCTCTTCACGGTTTTTGGTTTGTTTTTGTGGTGATATTTCTTGTGGCTCTAATGAATTTCATTTTGAGGTTCATGTTTGTAAGTTAGTCTCTCATCACTTGAAATCATTGCATCTTGATGACATACTCGTATATTTCGAGGTCCGTAGGTTTCAGTATGTTAACTGTAGTAGGGGACATTCAATTTCAATACACTGTACCGCTTCAGGTGGTTACAGTGAAACAAGAATATTCTGGGATGTGATGTAAATGTACTTTGGTACCAACGTTTAGGAGGAATGTACTTCTGCCATCTTCAAGGTAGACAACACTATGCTGCAGGCAGCATATTTCTCTGAAAAGCTGGTATCTGTTTTAAACTACATGGCTTTATGACCCAGGATGCTGTAACCTTAATATTTATTACCACAATATTCTCAAACCTTGCAGAAAACTATTCTCTTAATTCACTCAGTTCAGACCCCTTTTTAAAGTTGCCAGAATTGTTAGAAACCATTAATTTAATTCCAGTAATTTAAAATTCATTTTGAATCCTAGAGATTTTTTGTCAGACATGGCCAACAGATCAGATGAAATTAAAGCATCAAATAAAATGGCTGCCAGATGGATTGAAAGACATCACATGCAGCATTCAATTCATTGTCTGTTTATTATGAAACAATTTTGGCTGTTTATACATTTAATGCTGAGCAAGTGTTTGTGTACTTAGGAGCATCATTCCTACATAAACCCACCAGTCCCAGCTGTATAATGTAAATGGCTTTTGTGGAAACTGTGATTAACCCTGATGTTCTGTAAATCAGTTCTTGTACTGTTAGGGCGAGGGCACACCAAGGAAATTGGCAATCACAAAGCGACTGCAAGACAACCGCAATTTCCGAGAACTGTTATCAACCTGAGTTGGACACGTTACTGAATAGAGCGACTCAAATTGCAATCTATATTCCCTACAGAACGGACAAATACAGTCTAAGATGAGGCACCAGCTAAACAATTAACGTCAAAACTATATTACATCTATACCCTGGGCCTCCAAGCAGTTTATTACACATATACGACTCTGAATATACCATTATGTCCGTGGGAACATAACAAAATTGCAAGAAACTGACTTGATGATAAAGACTATCACATGAAGAGTTTCAACCTTATTTTATGTCATAACTTTCATTTTAACAAGTTTATAGTTCACTGTACTTTTATCCCATGTATTTTATAATGTATTATCAAGTATCCATCACAATTGCAGTTCAGTAGTGTGTGAATATGATAATGTGTTTCCATGACGATGGCTTTAATAGCCGAAACATGTAGCAGAGCTAATTTTAGCCTTGACCTTTATATTGTTGTGTTGTGATGGACTGTTAATAAAAGAAATTGTCCTAGCAACCCACCTGAAGTCTCATCTACAAAACCTCTTTCTTGGTGCTGACTGTCAAGTGAAATGTCAGTTTAGGCTCTGTCTGCTGAGTCACTGCCACCCTTGTCCTGTCTGACCTCCTCTACACCACTAAATGTACCTTACACTTTGCTAATTTTTTCTCACTGTTCAAAAATAACTCATCTAAGCTCCAAATCTGACAACAATTTTTGATGCTTAGGTTGTTCCAAAGAATGTGTCCGAGTCCAAGGCCCGAGTAATGTGTTGTAACATGCTATATGCTGTCTGGGCAGGGGAGTTGTTAGTTTCCCACCCAATCCCCAAGCTGGAGAGCCACCGTCTGTCAGCTGTCTATGACTGCTTACTTGCAGCTACCCTGTACATCTTGAGGGTGTTTCACCCATCAGCAACTTGCAGATGTGGCGTGCAGCAATAATGAAGGACACACCTAACCTCATACTTTTTAGCTGTAGCAGGGAGGTGAAGCCTCATATGGCCCCATTATACCAGTCCCAGATGATGAATATGGAGCTCTGATAGAACAATAACTGGCAAGAGTAGAGCATGGAAAAAAGATACATGCTTATTGCCACTCTGTCCATCACATATCTCACATGGACAGCCTTCGGCTTGATCATGGGCTTCCACAGTGAGAAGCTACCTGAATTATGGCACGGCATTAAACACACACTAAGTGGGTTGAATGCCGTACACAGAAGTTAAAGGGAGAAACAGTCTGTACACTAACTAACTTGCTCCTCGGTCCTTGGAGCCAAGGCCTTCTGGGGAAGATAACAACTCCTCACACACTCAGAAAATTCCCAACATTTTATGGAACCTGAAGGTTAATTTGCACAGCTCTGCCCACAGAATACACACTGACCAAGAAACAAAGACAACAAAATCAGGTGCTATACTGAAGTCCACAGGTAAATATTTGTTCTCTCTTTTAATTTTAAGGTTCAGACCACAGATGAGGATGTTTGAGAACAGGGTGCTGAGAAAATATGTGGACCCAAGAGGTATGAAATAATAGGAGGCTGCAGAAAACAGCATACTGAGGAGCTTCATAATTTGTAGCCCTCAACAAATGCATTTACAATGATCATGTCAAGAAGGATGAGATAGGCAGGACATGTAGCATGCATGAGACAAGAGGAATGCATACAAACTTTTGGCAAGACAATATTAAAACTGATCTTAGAGAAACAGGATAGGGTGCCATGGACTGGATTCATCTGGCTCAGGATAGAGACCAGTGGCACACTCTTGTGAGTACAGTAATGAACCTTCAAAGTCCATAAATGGACTGTTGGCTTCTCGAAAAGGACTGGACTCCATGAAGTTAGTTACCGCTCAGACAACTTGGAGCTGTTAACCCTTCCCTGCTTACATCATGTGTTCAACCCACAGTTTTATTTACAGAGCTGCTGAGTTAGAAGTGAAACCAATCAATCTTCAAAATAAACACTGCATATAGCACACAAAATTCTGAATCAAAGGAGTAACAGCTCAAATATATATTAAAAATTGTAAGCAGATGTTCTTCAACAGTCACATAATGTAAGATATTCATTCCACGGTGTTTGTTCACTTGTTTTCAGTCATTT